TTACTATATAGATGAAGGCAGTTCTTCATCCATTTATAGACATGGTATTCGGTCCTCATAAAGGAAAAGATTGCTGACCCTTTAAGGTGAATAATAAGAATATACACTAAAAGAAGGCATACAGTGATACCTCCGTAGCTGCTATTTCACTTACAATGTTTTTTCACTTAACCACAGTTGAGCGCCGTTTTGGGACCACAAGAGATTTCATTAACGCGCTCAAAGAATTTTCCTGCAATACTGTCAACTCTCACGGAATTGCATTTCTTATTGTCCCAAATTGACAAATTAAACTTTATCATTATATGCGGGGCTCCTAGTATGTATCCTCAACTCATATGTGGCCCTACTGCATAAACCCCAAAGGGCACACAAAAAATAAACCACTTACAGGTAACAAAAATATGTTATTTATGGAGCCATGTATTTCTGACCATATATTTTATTATAGCGTCGCTGCACTAACAGGAGTTAGTGTGGGTTCAGCCACAACAGTAAAACTACTTAACAATATAGTGTAGGTACCCCTTGTGCTGCCAAACACCCTGCAGGACTCGCCATTTTGGAGATGCACTGCTCTAAGAATACATCAAATAAACTGTCTCTGGCGCACTAAAGTGCAAGTGCAGGAAAAAGACCCTTGCACTTTAGTGTGTTAACATGTGTTAGATCTGCACTTTAATTTGATTTTGCGCCAAAGACACATTCCTTAATATATACTTGGCACTTGAATTGAGAGAGGCAATTCCATCTTCTGGCACTTTTATTGACAATTTATACTATTGCGCTTTATCAAGTTTGTATTCGATGCTCTGAACCTAGAAACATAGAAACATAGAATGTGACGGCAGATAAGAACCATTCGGCCCATCTAGTCTGCCCACTTTTCTAAATACTTTCATTAGTCCCTGGCCTTATCTTATAGTTAGGATAGCCTTATGCCTATCCCACGCATGCTTAAACTCCTTTACTGTGTTAACTTCTACCACTTCAGCTGGAAGGCTATTCCATGCATCCACTACCCTCTCAGTAAAGTAATACTTCCTGATATTATTTTTAAACCTTTGTCCCTCTAATCTAAGACTATGTCCTCTTGTTGTGGTAGTTTTTCTTCTTTTAAATATAGTCTCCTCCTTTACTGTGTTGATTCCCTTTTATATATTTAAATGTTTCTATCATATCCCCCCTGTCTCATCTTTCCTCCAAGCTATACATGTTAAGATCCTTTAACCTTTCCTGGTAAGTTTTATCCCGCAATCCATGAACCAGTTTAGTAGCCCTTCTCTGAACCCTCTCTGAGGTATCAATATCCTTCTGAAGATACGGTCTCCAGTACTGTGTACAATACTCCAAGTGAGGTCTCACCAGTGTTCTGTATAATGGCATGAGCACTTCCCTATTTCTACTGCTAATACCTCTCCCTATACAACCAAGCATTCTGCTAGCATTTCTGCTGCTCTATTACATTGTCTGCCTACCTTTAAGTCATCAGAAATAATCACCCCTAAATCCCTTTCCTCATATGTTGAGGTTAGAACTCTATCAAATATTCTGTACTCTGCCCTTGGGTTTTTACGTCCAAGATGCATTATCTTGCACTTATCCACATTAAATGTCAGTTGCCACAATTTTGACCATTTTTCTAGTTTACCTAAATCATTTGTCATTTGGCTTATCCCTCCTGGAACATCAACCCTGTTACATATCTTAGTATCATCAGCAAAAAGACATACCTTACCATTAAGACCTTCTGCAATATCACTAATAAAAACATTAAAGAGAATGGGTCCAAGTACAGATACCTGAGGTACCCCACTGGTGACAAGCCCATGCTTCGAATATACTCCATTGACTACAACCCTCTGTTGCCTGTCACTCAGCCACTGCATTACCCATTCAACAATATTGGAATCCAAAATTAAAGATTGCAGTTTATTGATAAGCCTTCTATGTGCAACAGTGTCAAAAGCCTTACTGAAATCTAGGTAAGAAATGTCTACTGCACCACCCTGATCTATAATTTTAGTTACCCAATCAAAAAGATCAATAAAATTAGTTTGGCATGATCTCCCTGAAGTAAACCTATGTTGTCTCTGATCTTAAAATCCATGTGTTTTTAGATGTTCAACAATCCTATCCTTTAACATGGTTTCCATCACTTTCCCCACTACTAAAGTAAGGCTTACTGGCCTATAGTTGCCCGACTCCTCCCTATTACCTTTCTTGTAAATGGGCACAACATTCGCTAACTTCCAATCTTCTGGGACTACTCCTGTTAACAATGATTGGTTAAATAAATCTGTTAATGGTTTTGATAGTACACCACTAAGCTCTTTTAATAGCTTTGGGTGTATTCCATCAGGTCCCATTGACTTATTTGTCTTTACTTTTGACAGTTGAAATAGAACCTCTTCCTCTGTAAACTCACGTGTAATAAATGACTCATTTATCCTTTTCCTCAACTGAGGTCCCTTTCCTTCATTTTCATCTGTAAATACAGAACAAAAATATTCATTGAGGTAGTCAGCTAGACCTTTATCCTCTTCTACATACCTTCCTTCTTTTGTTTTTAATCTAACTAATCCTTGTTTTACTTTTCTTTTCTCATTTATGTATCTAAAAAATGTTTTATCCACCTTTTTTACTGACTGTGCTATTTTCTCTTCTGTGTGTGATTTGGAAGCTCTTATAACTTGCTTAGCCTCTTCTGCCTAATCTTATAGATCATTTTGTCTTCCTCACTCTGGTTTTTTTTATAATTCCTAAATGCTAACTTTTTGTTTTTAACTATTTTGGCCACATCTGCAGAGTACCACAGTGGTTTCTTGAATTTTTTGCTTTTACTGACAAGCCTAATGCAATTTTCTGTTGCCTTCAATAGTGCAACTTTTAAATAATCCAATTTTTCTTGGACTCCATTTAAATTGCTCCAGTCTGATAATGACTCCTCTACCATATTCTAATTTTAGAAAAGTCTGTTTTTCTAAAGTCTAAAACTTTTGTTTTTGTGTGGTGTGACTCAGTCACTGTTCTTATATTAAACCACACTGACTGATGATCACTGGATCCTAAACTTTCACCTGCAGTAATATCTGATAGCAGTAGTCTGTTCATCACTATTTGGCCCTCGTCAAAGTCAGATCTTTCAGCTTGTCCATTTTTTTCTGCATCAAACACATAAAATTTAAGAACTGACTGTTATCTTGCCGTTTAATATATTTCGTCCATTGACAGATGTTACACAAAGAGACATGTGTTCATGAGGTTTAGCCTTTCTCACATCTGTTTTTGCTGTTGATCCAAAAGAAGGCAAAACAATGGGTTTGAAGTGCTTCCAACTTTGCAACAAACTAAGAAAACAATTCCTTCTTGACATGAGAATGGCAGTCAGATATCTCCATGGATCAAGAAGCTATTACCCTCACTAATTAAAGAGTATATCCCTTAATATTATGTTTTTGCAAGTATTTATCCAATTGCTGTTTAAATATCTGTTTAGACGCTGATAAAACCACCTCTTCAGGAAGAGAATTCCATTTCCTTATTGTTCTTACTGTTAAAAAAATATAACCTTTCCTTTGCCTTAGACGAAATCGCCTTTCTTTCCTGCTACATTCATTTTATTTTATTTTTTTGTATTCTTTATTTTTGATGCGCAGTGAGACATATGTAGTGACAGTGATGCATGGTGCAAAAACAACACCAGTAATTACATACTAAAATACATCGCACAAAGTATCAGGAAAAGCTGCAAAATTATTTTTTAATGAAAAGTTGGGTACAGCATATATGTCAGACATGTGTAAGTGCTAACAAACAAAAATGGCACAAGGGTAATGCATGGTATGTATGGTAAATAGTGTAAATTATCCTCTGAGATCAAATACATCACTATACTGCAGTTTAATTTAAAAAGGTAAACAAAGATGTAAGGTTGATACAGCAGGCATCACAAATCAGACTGTAGCCCCATGTAGCTAGAGCACAGCTAAGCGGAAAAGGGCCCTGACAGGGGTTAGGAGGCGGGCATAGGAGGAAGTAAGCAAGGAGTGGAGTTATGGGTAAGTAGGTTTGGCTATTTAAATAGGCAGCCATTTTAGTTGAGTCATTTCTAATTTCCTACCTGCTCCAGGGCACTCCAGCGCACTAGTTCACACACTTCAAGCGCTACTCCATTCATTAGGAGCGGGGGGAGACACGGGGGGCAGCGTTGGTCCGGGTACTAGTGTTGGGATTTGTTGGGTACTAGCTCAAGGGGCTTGGGTCGCGGGTACTAGTATTGGGATTTCCGCGGGGCCTAGCTCCGGCGGAGACGCTGGGGTGACGACGGATACGGCAGATACAGGGAGTGAGCGGGCAGAATTGTCGGTCGGTGTTCCCGACTTCACCATTTCTAATTTCCTACCTGGTCGAGTTTGTCCCACAAACCCTCCCTGGTGTTTTGTTTATGGGTAGGGGTTATCCCGTTTTTTTCACAGCGGCGGGATAGGGAGCTGAAGGAGAATAAATAGGCTCCCCAGGATGAACGTGATGGAAACAAAAAAGTTGTGGTCATCGGTGGTTGATAGGTTTCGAGTCCTGTCGGTGGCTCAGAACCTGGTGGGGTAGGGGTATCCGGGTATACCCCTGCCGTGGTTAATGTATGGTTGGCACTTTAAGTTGGTATGTTGGAATAATGTTGGTGTATGTTATATATATATATATATATATATATATGTATATATGTGTTATTTATATGGGGGTCATTGCCTTTTATATTAACAGAAGGATTCGGATGCAAGGGCGGAGTATGGGGGGCAATGACCCATGTTCTACTTGTTAAGTTATTATTATTATTATAATTATTAGAATGGTTATTACTTAAGATTGTTTAATAAAGCTGTAGACAAATTTTCCCATATACCCTAGTGTCTGTGTGTTATTGGGTTAGGTATGTGGGGTGATTGTCCTGGATTCTAACTGCCTAGATGGCGACTATACACCGGTCAAGGCTAAATAGCTCATGTCAGGGGAAGCCCCCATTGCTCGTGGGAGGTCAGCCGATTGCCTGCTCTGCAGAGCCACTGGAACCGTGCGTGGGAGCCTTCTAAGGTCAGGATCCTGGCAGTGTCCAGTAAGGCAAGTAGAATCTCACGATGGGGCCTTGGCCACATTGGCTCGCTGCTGCCGCCAGTGCGGATAAGTGAGGAGTTACGGCTTGGCAGGTTCATGTAGCCACAATCCCCCTTGCTGCAGGAGCACTCCGCATGACAGCCTACATTGCAGTGGGCCTTCTCCTTAGGACCCGATTGCCTGGCATATCCCTCTTTGGCCGCACAGTAGGAACCCTCACACGTTTGACAGCAGGTACAGATTGTTACGGGGCCATGGGAGAGCCCAAAAGCAGCAAAAATGTAGTCTAGCCGTTGGGCAATAGAGAGTGGCTGTGTTCTCTTGACGGGCTTGTGTGTGATCTCTGCCATTTTAGGGGCAGTAGGTCTCCGTTGATTTCTCTGCCACGGAGCATGAGAACGTTCCCCTGGGACCCGGATAACCCCCAGTGGTACAGCTCAGCGTTCCGGCCCCGCCTCCCCTCCTTTTATTAATTTATATTATTCATAAATGTAGCCTGCCTCTGCATAATCTCCTTTTTAGAGCAGGTGCCCAAAATTGCACAGCATATTCAAAGTATGGTTTACCAGTTATTTCAAAAGACAGAAAATTATATTTTCATCCTGAGAACTAATGCCTCTATTTATACCTGACAATACCTTACTGGCCTTAGCAACTGCTGATTGACATTGCACATTGTTGCCTAGTTTGTTGTCTATAACAATTCCCAAATCCTTCTTGAGTGCTGTTATCCCTAATTCACTACCATTTAGGGTGTAAATTGCTTGTGCATTCTTGACCCCGAAGTGCATAACTTTGCATTTCTCTACATTAAATTTCATCTGCCATTTGAGTGCCTAGTTCCCCAATCTATCTAAATCCCTCTGCAGCAAAGTAATATATTGCTCCCATTGTATTACTTTACAGAGTTTTATGTCATCTTCAAGCACTGAAACATGTTTTTTAAATGCCTATTTCAAAATCATTTATAAATATGTTAAATAGAACTGGTCCCAGAACAGAATAGTTTAACTACTTACCACTAGATACCACTTACCACTTTTGCCCAGTTTGAAAATGTACCATTAATCACAACTCTCTGTACCCTGTCGTTAAGACAATGAATGTTCTTCTAGACCAATTTCTTTTAGTTCTGAACACTAACCTGATATTAGAATACTTTTTACAAATTTAGAAACCTTTTGAAGGGAGATGTGAGTTGCCAATTGGATCGCTAGCAGATGATGACGTCTCAAGTATCAAAGTGAAGAGCAGGTTAACAACATAAGGAGATTGACCTTGAGGAAGCACTCAAAGCACATGCTCCTATGTGGATCCTCTGTGGCAAACAGCAGCGAGGCAGTCTCGGCCCTGGAATAAAGTGAGTATAAAACTATTTTTATAAATGATTAAGCTTGAAATGGGGTGGTGGGGGGTTTATTAGGAATAGGGACACGTTTGTTTTACTAACACTTTAGTGTTCCTTTAGGTTGACCATCTTAGGATACAAAAACTGCTTTTAGGTTTTACTTGGCAAAGAAGGCACCTGTCTTCCCGAATGACAGATGGTCTACTCTGCCCAAACATACTGGTCGGATGGAAGGAGGAGCGAGGGAGCTGTGAATTTCCTGTGCTGTTCCAGTACACCTCCTTTGCTCACCCTGCAGTGGTGTCAGCAGTTAGTATATGTCACCCCCGCATTGGCATTGCTGCAAAAAAGAGAAAAAAAAAGTAATGTCATTTGTGTGAATGAATGTGTATGTATCTGTTTGTGCTTGTGTGTGTTCAAGTTCGCTTGATTCGCTGTATAGTAAATAAACTCTATATAGGTTTAATTACCCAAAGCCAATAGACTATCCATACATATGCAAAACTCTAATTCTAAGTACTACTTAATAAATCATTGCGTTGGTGTATTGTTATTCACCTGCATTTATTGTGTGCGAATGACTAAAGTAAGAATCTAAACGAAATTTAAAATTACATTTGTTTGTCTGTTTATTCCAGTGCGTAAAATAATGATTCTGAAAGTAAAAATAATTCACATTAATGTGGTCTATATGTTATTTGTATACTGGAAATATACCCCACATTGTGTTTGGGGACATCATATAACCGATAAACAGAAAGCCAACGTTTAAATAGACACTCAATTGTTTAAACTATTCATGACATTTCTAGGTGGCAAAGATTAAGAATTCCCCAGGAGTAAATGAAGTCAACATTACAGGAAGCACATGATTGAAACTAGATGGCAGGAGGAGGGTCTACATGTTTACGATACGTGCTGGCTAAAAGATCTTTACATTAATTCACATAGCCTGCCACCACATTCTGTTCTTCGCAGCCACACATACAACCTCAGTCAGACACACACCAGGATGTCTCGCAGTGAGTAGCAAATTTACTTCTTTATTTAACCAATCTTGTGGGTAGTGACTGGCATTGAAATCCGAAAGAGTTAGCCTCATTTGTTTCATTTCTCATAGAAGTACCCACAAATGTCATTAGTTAGAATTGACAAAAAATAATATTTAGTGCAGCTAAAGAATTCATATTGCCTTACCTGTATTCAAGCAAATGTGTTTTCATTTTTAAGGATCTATGACCATGGGTTTAAGAAGAACAGACGATGGGGAGACTAATACTTCTCAGATAATTGGATAGAGTGGAAGAGAGGGGTAATATGTCCCCCAGTCTTGATGGTGTAGCTTAATGGTTGTATATTAATTGCTACTCTTAACCTACCCTCCTCCCCCCCAATACATTTCCTTATTTCCATTTTGGAATTCATATGGTTTGAAGCATGCTCTCTATGGAACTCCAAATTATTTAGTATATTATGAAAAGCCCTCCAGACTTTGAGTTGTGTTTTTTGGGGGTTCCTACACTGATGCTTATGGCACTGGAATCATATTACAATGAATGCATTCTCCGATGTCCAATAGCCTTCTAATTTAACATTAACTTGGCACTGTAGAAGTAGTGTTGGTGAGTAAGTAGGATATTGGATTCGATGCTGGATTGGCCAGGTGATGGCATAGAGTGACACTACTTTATAAAGAGATTACATTGTAGCATTTTAATAGTACATGAGTTTTGGGACATAACATTTCACCCACTATGTGCTTTATAAGTCTTTTTCACAGCTGGCTCTGAAGAGATTAAACCATTTGTATAGGCTTTGCCTAATCTAAATGGTATACCATTGGTATTAGTTAGAAATCCAGGAAGTAATATTATTTCGGTAGATAACAGTAATAATGTCAAGCTAAATAATGAGTAATGCTATTCTTGTAAATGTGAATCAAAAGTGATTTGTTAACTCAGAAAAGTGTCAATATGATATTAAAGGTTTTTGCAGACATCATAATAGGATTAAAAGTTTTAAAGGGCAGATCACGTTTTCAAATATTGTACTGCACACGGTATGTGACATCTTCTGTACATTACTTAGAATAATACACAGACGATGACACATACCGTACAGTACAGTTTTACTGCCACCGTGCAGTGCCTAGTCCCTAGTTTAAGGGCAGCACTGGGGCGTACATGTTCTGGTCTACCTGAGTTTAGTGGGATTTAAAGGAACACTCCAATGTTAGAAACCCATATTCAGTTTTAATGTTTGGATTGTTCCTTAAACCATATGCATGAAGGCGACTCCCACATACAACAAAAATATAAATATTGCTAATGTTCTTTATCCAGCGGCGAGACATTGCTAAAGCAAAATGGCTTGTTTAGGGGTCTGGAGTGTCCCTTTAAGCTCCGGGAGAGCAGCTGATATATGAAGATGCTACCATTTTAATTCAGTCCTCTTTTGATAATCCTGTGTACAGAGAGGAGCTTGAGGAGAGAGAATTTGCATTATTTTATATCTCCAGCTACTCTGCTACCATATCACTATTGGGCAATAGGAGAATTAAATGTGACAACTGCAAGTAGCAATTGCGGCTCAGAAGCATAGCCAGATATGAATGTCCGGTGCTGCCACAAACCTTAAAGGAACCCTAACACCACCAACCCTAACATTATTTCTAGACTCAATCATAACACAAACCCTAACTAGAACTACAACATATTAACCATAGCCCTAATACACACTCTTTTTAATATATATATTATAAGCATGAACTAGGAGACATTATCATAGAAGAGAAAAGGTTATCCAATGACATTATTGTCTAATAATACATGGCTCGATTTTATGTATCCTCTCGTTTTCTCCGACTTACCACGAGTGTTACATAGAAAAGATGTATTGTGTTTGAGGCACAAAAATATATTGTTTTTAGGTAAGACTGGGAGTTTTTTCCAAATCGTCCAAATAATTCAGATTACAGAGCCAAAGCAACTCTAGGTTTTATCAAAGTCCTGAAGCACTAATTAGGCAAGAGTTAAGTATGTTTTTAAACCTGTTTTTTTTTCTTCTTTTTATAATTTTATTGGTTGATATTTTGAGGGTTTTTGTTCAGGCATGTTGTGTGCTTATTTATGTAAATATATGTGGATGTATCTTAGCGTAGACAGAAAAATAGTATATGATGATAAAAATACACACAGACAAAAATCTATATTTATTTTTTTCAAGAAAGGAAACTGATGTTTGATGCGGCTGATATATATCTTTAACCCACAGATATTATAAGGGGGTCACAAGCACACACACATGCTATTTTTAACACTTATATTTTAATGTGCTACGCAATTGCCCTGCCTATTTTATATATTATTTAAACCTCTCACATATTTATAATGTTTATTTAATAAACAATTAAGGAAAACGCATCTAAGTAGGGAGAAAAAAAACTCACAACCAAAGTTAATCAATTTAATATTAATGGCAATTTTAAATTTTAAGAATTATTTAAAAAGTAAAATTAGGTTAAAATAGGAAATTCTGGTGAAGTGAAAAATGTATGTAATTCAAAAGCTGTAGTGTCATTTTAACAAGTCAGGTCTTTCTCGAACATTTGAAAAATCTGATAAAGAGTTCTGCACAATCTGAAACTGAGAGTCGTTACTATGCGTCTTCTTTCTTACTATTGGTGGGAAATTCTACTCTGTTTTTCAGCAGTAGTACCCATCTATGATTAATGTAGTGGTTTTGGAAAAAAGTGACAAGATCATGTGCCAGAAACAGAAAGTGTTTCGTTAACCTCTCCTGTACTGGCTTAAAAAAAGAACAAAAGAGATTATGTATTACTGAAATTGATTCCTGCTGCAAGGAGAGACAGCAATTTAACACAAGAGGGGCTGGGGTTGTGTTACACCCACACTGAACTCAGGTACAAAACAACACCTCCTAACATTTTAAATGGCCACTTTAATTTCATTGGTATTGCTGGGGGTTTGTCCAGGGCCGGGACTGTTCTGAGAACATTTTGGTGTTCTAAACTAATAATAATTTATGCAATTAAAACATTATTTAGAACAATCTATCACATAGAAACGTAGAATGTGACGGCAGATAAGAACCATTCGGCCCATCTAGTCTGCCCAATTTTCTAAATACTTTCATTAGTCCTTGACCTTATCTTATAGTTAGGATAGCCTTATGCCTATCCCACGCATGCTTAACCCCTTAAGGACCAAACTTCTGGAATAAAAGGGAATCATGACATGTCACACATGTCATGTGTCCTTAAGGGGTTAAACTCCCTCACTGTGTTTACCTCTACCACTTCAGCTGGAAGGCTATTCCATGCATCCACTACCCTCTCAGTAAAGTAATACTTCCTGATATTATTTTTAAACCTTTGTCCCTCTAATTTAAGACAATGTCCTCTTGTTGTGGTAGTTTTTCTTCTTTTAAATATAGTCTCCTCCTTTACTGTGTTTATTCCCTTTATGTATTTAAATGTTTTCTTCATATCGCCCCTGTCTCGTCTTTCCTCCAAGCTATACATGATAAGAATAGAATTACACAGATTTATTTCTAAACACATTTATAGGAGTTTAAAGAGACATTTCTGTGAGTATTATTTCTGTGGAGCTCTGTTAGACACTCAGACACACCAACAATAAGGATGTCCTTGAACAGAGGGACATGGCATAGAAAAGAGGCACAGGACTTTTGGCCATTTTGCCATTAGGATTGTTTTTCATAGTAAAAGCCAAAACAATTCTGGAAAATACCACAAATGTGAAATATATTACCACAATGTCGATCCAAGCAGAAATCAGATTGTAGCAAAAGAGGATTTTTTTTCCTTACACAAGAGCTTCAAGTTAGCTTTTTGTTTTCATTTGGATCAGTGCCACAACCGAGCTGTGTAAAAAAGTCTAACAGTTTTTTAACTTATTTTGTGACTCAGTGTGGTGAGGTGGGACCATCCAAATATGCAAAACATCAATCCATGATTCTTACTAAGTGACCATTTATTTGCACAGACATGTAGAAGACCCAAGTATTTTGTTGACTGATTTCCTGTATTACCAACTTGGCATTCCAGACATCAGATACACAGAGGTGGCTCTCTTGTTAGACGACTTAGGAGGCTGCCTAAGGCATCGCGCTCACTGGGGCCTTGTGGCAGCCTGACACATGTGAACATGCCATGGTTGGCCATGGGCAGAGGCCTGCATGGGAGTTCAAAGGATCACCTATGCATGGCTGACAATAAAAAATTGCCATCTCAAAGAAGGAGCAGTAACACTTTCCAGCCGGTGGGGAGATCAAAGCTCTCCCTCACTGGCCAGCCCAGACATAGGGGCACAAAAGGCTTTTGCAAGTGTATTGAAGAAGTGGGGTAGCAAACATGACCTGCACCTGTGGGAGATGCAGACCAAATTACTAGATCAACGGACCTCCTTTGACAAGCATCCCACCTTCCCAAGCCAAGGTGAGCAAGAGGGGAGGGGTAAGATATATTTTTTTCATAATGCCCCTACCTCTACTGCAAAAACTACAGCTGCTATCCTCCCCTGCACCCACTATCTCCTGTATAACCTCTACAGCCCATATTCCCCCTACTCCCACTACAGTCCGTACAGCCACAAAAACCTCTCTACACCCGCTAGAGGCCCTACATCCACTACAGCCCTTATCCCTACTCCCTGCACTCACTACAGCCTCAAATATTCCTGCATAGACTACAGCCCTTGTCCCTACAGCCTCTATCCCCGTGCACACATTACACTGGCTATCCACACACAAACACACTACAGTCCCTATCACACCGAACGACAGACCCTATGCACCCAGCATCTACTATTGCCATTATCCCCATGACATGCACATATTGCAGCCTCTATATCCCTCACACACACTATGCACACAATCCCATAAGCACCATCCTCACACATGAAATTTCACATACAGTCTCTCTACACACACAACTTCACCAGCAGCAGCTCCCACATGCACAACCCCACAAGTAGCTTCAAAACATGTACAACGCCGCAGCCCAGTCCTCCTTTTTCCCTCGTGTCTCACTTATGAAGACAACAGAAACAAGTCACCAGCAAACACAGTGTCTCATTAAATTGCTTTGAGACACTGTATGAACTAAAACTACATTTTAGCAGTGTATATTCTGCCTTTTCTGCTGCTTAATGCAACCTCTAGTGACTGTCATTCGGATAGGTCACTGGAGGGATTTTCTGGGTTCGGTCCTGCAAAGAAGAACTTTTAGCGTCTCGAATCTCTGGATGGAGACCCTGAACGCTCTCTATAGATGCGCTAATTCAATGCATCTCTATATGTTGATTTGCCACAGCACAGCGATTGCTGCATAAGCACTAGCCTCCGAATACTTTCCTAGGGGGAATCATTTGATTGGCTGATATCATCAGTACTGTGTAAAAAACTGGCACACTGGGGGAATAAAGGTAAGTAAATCTTCTTTATCAATTACTTGTTAGGAGCTCAATATTCCAAAAAGGTAGGCAAAAACTATAGCGTACAGGACAGATACTATTAACATTTTTTTGATTCATATTGGGGGTGCCCTGCTGAGCCAGGTAAGGTTAGAAGGCTCACTTAGATTTGGACTATAGATAACTATTATTATTATTACTATTTTATATTTATATAGCGCCATCAGATTCCGTAGCGCTGTACAATGAACGATATTACAATAGCGCTTTTATGACTAACTTTAAATCAAGGATCATGAAATTTGGGGTTGCTGAGCTGGCTGAGAAATGTGATCTAAACAGCGTGGTATGAAACCAAAATATGACCGTGCCGACTCTCAGTTTCTTTATGTGAGATCTCAACAGTCATTACAGACCTTCCCATCATCTATATATCAGATTATTCAAACTATTCTTAATTTTCTAAAAAGCCCCATAACGGTTTAGTTCAACTGAAACACATCACCAGTGTTTCTACTTTGAAATTAACTAGAGATATATTGTAAAGGAAAACCATTTCATAGCCTGCCTGTCACTATACACTTTCTTTCGTAATTTTTGGGGGATTAACTTTTACCCATTTATTGCGCTAGCAGATCTGCTAACAAATTAAGTGAGTTTTCATTAAATGTTAAAAGATATGATATGTAGAACTTAACAACAAGAATTGACTGATGGTAGAGTAATAGAATATATCTACAGTTGGTCAACCTGCACTGCTGTATAGTAGCTGTGCATTCCTCTGGCTTTGCTGGGAAAATTAGGAACAGAGGGAGAGATGTTTTGGTGCCAGTGCGTAATAAAATCAGAGTTAAGGCATCCTTGGGTGGTAAGTATTCCCGAGCAGAGTAAACGGGTTATTGTTTTGTTGAATCCATGAACCTGTATTAGTTAAACCCATTAACCTTGTGTAATGACAAGTCTATGGGAGGAGGTAATGCAAAGAAGTAATGCATTTGCATCTCCTAAAGCAATTAAATATATTTCTCACTATAATAATAGACATATTAATTTCTACAGGACATGCTATATGTTAAAGTGAACCTGTTATGACAAGTCCATCTTAAGTACAGTAAAGAAATGGAATGTGAAAAAAAAAAAAAAAGTCAGGTCAGGGTAACATGGGAAAAATGGTGTTATAAGGTCAAACCAAACCTGAGTAACCAAACATTTTTTTAATGTGTTAGATTAGACATAATACAATAATATATGCAATCAAAATATATAAAACAAAAACGAACCGATTCTGATCTAATAATTCTACAGCATACACAAAGTTATGTGAAAAGTAGCTAAACACACCCACAGCCTTTCATAGGAAAATTACTCAGAATGTCTGATATAATACGCTATGTTGTTTTTAATTCACGTGGTCAAGAAAAGGATGTGTAAGCTCAAAATTGCACGTGGTTTCGTATTCTCTTCCAATATATATATATATATTTTTTTTTATCAGATGGTCAAACAATAATCTTTCATATAAACAAATCTCTTTTTTTATTTATTTTTAAATTGTGATGGGAAAGGTCAATGCCCAAAAATATAGGTAGACAAAAATGCATTATGGCTGTGGGGTAGGCAGAAAGGCATGTCTACTTCTGGGGAGGGAGGGATGAGGTAATCCCAAGTATCAGTGCTATTTCACATGAATGTGATTGGTGCTCATCCTGAATGCTGACTAAATATTGTATTCTACACAATTTATTTAAAACCTGCTTGGAGTGAAGCTACCATTTTCTGTTTTTAATGTGTATGGGAAATGTAGTTCGATTGTGGTGTTGAGCAATGCATGACTTCTGATTAGGTAACAGGTCAGTGGTAAAATGTGTGTGGTGAATGCCAGTGGTGGAGACTAGCTGCCCACCATCTTAAAATTGTATCAGTCACCACTGGTATGTAAATTTCACAGCATTTAGAAAAAAAAAACAAAGCTTGATCCACACATCTAGACTTAACCTAGTGTTATCATCAGTGGACCAAAAGTGTGTGAATGTGCCAAATTGAAAGGCTTGGAGGGACATTCATTAACTGATGGTATATGCTGTCTATGGAATACATTTTTTATTTTATATTTTTGATTTTCCAAGCTATGCTTTATTCCTCAACTCCTAACTCATAAGAACCATAAAACTAACGTGTGACTTTGTCATGGTGCCTGCCAGCCACATTCCTATTTCAGGAGGTCCGGTAACAGGTTTTACAGTTTTTTAAAAATTATTTCCATTTGTTAACTTAAGTTCTGCGTGTTGGGTCTTAGACTGTCTTGACAGACTCTAAACCTAAACTTAACCCCTATCCATCCATAAACCTAGACCTAAGTGCGAACTCAAAATCCAGCTATGACTCCTTTACCTAACATTAACTCTGTGCCTAATCACAATGCTACCCTGAATTCATCACCCTAGCCTTGTCATGACTCCAAATCCTTTCTCCTAATTCCTTCCTAGCCCTGAGTTTTCATCCTGATACTTTTCCCAACCCCTAATTCTAATGACCCCAATAGAATTGTCTCCAAAATGTACAATGTTGAAAACACAAACTTCTGAGGTGATTTGGTTTTATGATGAATTAAGAAATGACAGCATTACTAGAATACAAAGCATTGAAAATAATAAATATTTTAGGTAGGAGAGTATTGGGAAAGATGGTGTTGTGTCAGAATATGTAATGACTAACTTATTTTGTTTTTGTTTTCATGTTTAGATATGTTGCGCTTCACCTTAACAATTTCAAGCCTGTTGGTTATATCACAGGTGAGTAAAAGCACAAAATGGCGCATCTTGCGAACCTATTTCCTCTTTACTTTTTTGTCTATCCATAACATTATTAAAGTGATACGCTTAGCACCAAAACAACTTTAGCTTTATGAGGCAGTTTTTGTGTATAGATCATGTCCCTGCAGTCAGATTACGCAGCCCTAGCAACATCTTCTCTGGCTGTGACTGACACAGGAATCACACACAGGAGGCTCCTGCAGGCTCTAATAGGCTATAAACAGAACACACACATTCTAGATTAAACAGACTTTCTAGCCAGCACTAGCAGCTTGTTATACATACACTGTGGTAACCATGCATAAAGATCAGAAGGACTGCCTGTGGGTGGTCTCTTTTGCTCTCCTTTGTCAATCAATTGTTTGGCATAGAATCTGTGGCAAAAAATTGATTGACAAGTAGAAGAAATACTTATTTTTAAATAGGCATTTCTCCCAATCTATACATTACCTAACAAAACTGCTATCACAATGTACATGTATGGAATTTGATGCTCTTTAAAAAGAGCAAAAGTATTGTTGAGCAACAATATCCAGCAACTTCGTACAGCCATTGAAGAGGAGTGGACCAACATTCCACAGGCCACAATCAACAACCTGATCAACTCTATGCGAAGGAGATGTGTTGCACTGCGTGAGGCAAATGTAGTCACACCAGATACTGACTGGTCTTCTGACCTCACCGATACAGTAAAACTGCACATTTTAGAGTGGCCTTTTATTGTGGCCAGCCTAAGGCACACGTGTGCAATAATCATGCTGTCTAATCAGCATCTTGATATGCCACACCTGTGAGGTGGATGGATTATCTCGGCAAAGGTGAAGTGCTCACCAACACAGATTTAGACAGATTTGTGAACAATATTTGAGAGAAATAGGTCTTTTGTGTAAATAGAAAAAGTCTTAGATCTTTGAGTTCAGCTCATGAAAAATGGGGGCAAAAACAAAATTGTTGCGTTTATAATTTTGTTCAGTGTATATATGAAACCTACATATTTAAAATGTTGCAAAAGATAAGTTAAAATAAAAAAAATACCTAATAGATATATCAATAAAAAAATATACCTTCAAACTTCAGGCACTTACCTCACCAGAAAGTTCCACGAATCAAGGGCCTCTCATTCTGATAACTTATTATGTTATCCCATAAATCTTTATCCACTATTGGTTTAAGGGATAAGTAGTTTATACCCCAGCTCTAGTTCCACTGATCATACAAAATGAGTGCTACTGCTTTACAAACTGATAGTGTCAGGGTCTTACCCCACAACCTGAAGCCTACCTTGTCCTTCCGCGCCACGTCTCTGATCCTCCTAGGTTCACAATTCCAGCTCGTTGTCTGCAGCGTCAGATGGTAGAGTTAGGGCTCTATTTTCTTATGGCGCCCCAGTGTCTTGCAGTGATGCATGGTGTCTATTCACATGGACGCTGTTACAAGTGAACAGGCTCTGGCAGCATTCTCCAAGGCAGGGCTCCCCCTTATAGAACTCTAGGAGTGCATGGGCCGAATGCGGCAGGCTTTCGAGGGGAAGAGTAGGGGAGGCTGTGGGAATGACACCAAAATTGGTCTTTCAGCCAGCTTTACTAATACTAATTTAAAAAAAATAATATTAGTAGAAGATGGAATTTTTTATATTGTCAGGATATTTTTTTTTTATTTTTTTTTGCATTATGGTCTTTTTTTTGGTTATGGTCTTTTTTTATTTTGTTAGTTTGGATTTTGGTTTGGCCTTTTTTGGAGCTAAAAAAAAAGATTTAAGAAAAACATATAATGGTAAGTATAAATGTTTTATTTTACAGGTATTTTATTTCCCTCTCACTAGTTCGGCACCCATTAGTTTGTTTGCTCGTTCGGCTCCCCACTTGATATTCTGACGAATGGATGAAAATGCTGATTTTTGTCTGAAAATCCATTTGTCCAAATACGAATGCCCATTCAGTTGTAATTTGCTCCCTGTTATGTGAACAAGCTGCCTAGTTGTTATTCCTATTTCCTATCTGGTATTTAACCTGTGCTTTGACCTCTTCGCCTAAGAACCTTTGCTGTCCGAACTGATAATCTGCTATGTATTTGACAACATGCCTGTCTTGTCCTTGCTGGCACCTTACTTTGGCTTCATTTTCTTATAATCCATTTTTGCATTCTGGATTCCAAACATTACAAGACTGGCAGTTAGCCACCATACTACAGCTACTATCAGTTTCCACACAGTCCAGGTTTACAGTTTTGTTAACTAGGCTGTGTGCAGCTTTTGGCATATCCACTTTAACACAATAACTCTCACTCTCAGAACCTTTTTAGAGCCACAGCGCAATGTACAGAGCAACAGTTAGGCGTGTTGCTCAATCTTAAACTACACACCAATACCTAAATATACATACACAGTGTAATACAAAGATAGGACTGTCACATTAGGAACAAGTACAACTTTTACAAAACAGGATATTAAAGAGTTGAAACAAATATGTCTATCTCAGAAAAATGTCTTTGGTCCCACTTGCAACACCCACGGTAACATCAAAACAATCTATTATATAACACAAAATCATCTTACATATGTGGGTGACAACCGCCAGGGTTTGGTTGTTGATAAGGAACTCAGTTACATGGGAACAGCACTCTGAGTTGTTAAACTGAATGAAAATTGTTTAACACCTCAAGGTGAGATTGCATCTAGACACTAATTCTAATTTTTACTTTTTCCTCTTCATAACCTACACATAGTCAAATTTGTATCTTCTTACTCATTTGGTAAAGCAAAAGATATGGAGCAAGGAATCAGACTATGATTTTAGAAAGGCACGCCATGCAAAGGCAGCCCTTTCAATAGATAAACTTTTAGTTTTAACATCTATTTTTAGTATTTTGTGTGTTAGATATAAAAGGGCCGGTGCAATGATTATTGGCTGCACAGGCAAAAACAGATTTTGACGCCCGCCCCAACTGCCTTCCCCACACACTCTGGTTCCCTGGGTACTGATAGGCATGCAATACCACCTCCCCTGCTGCTGGAAACTCCTACAAGAAACATAGAAACATAGAATGTGATGGCATAAGAACCATTCGGCCCATCTAGTCTGCCCAATTTTCTAAATACTTTCATTAGTCCCTGGTCTTATCTTATAGTTAGAATAGCCTTATGCTTATCCCATGCATGCTTAAATTCCTTTACTGTGTTAACCTCTACCACTTCAGCTGGAAGGCTATTCCATGCATCCACTACCCTCTTAGTAAAGTAATACTTCCTGATATTATTTTTAAACCTTTGTCCCTCTAATTTAAGACTATGTCCTCTTGTTGTGGTAGTTTTTCTTCTTTTAAATATAGTCTCCTCATTTATTGTGTTGATTCCCTTTATGTATTTATATGTTTCTATCATATCCCCCCTGTCTCGTTTTTCCTCCAAGCTATACATGTTAAGATCCTTTAACCTTTCCTGGTAAGTTTTATCCCGCAATCCATGAACCAGTTTAGTAGCCCTTCTCTGAACTCTCTCTAAGGTATCAATATCCTTCTGAAGATACGGTCTCCAGTACTGAGAACAATACTCCAAGTGAGGTCTCACCAGTATTCTGTAAAATGGCATGAGCACTTCCCTCTTTCTACTGCTAATACCTCTCGCTATACAACCAAACATTCTTCTAGCATTTCCTGCTGCTCTATTACATTGTCTGCCTACCTTTAAGTCATCAGAAATAATCACCCCTAAATCCCTTTCCTCAGATGTTGAGGTTAGGACTCTATCAAATATTCTGTACTCTGCCCTTGGGTTTTTACGTCCAAGATGCATTATCTTGCACTTATCCACATTAAATGTCAGTTGCCACAATTCTGACCATTTTTCTAGTTTACCTAAATCATTTGCCATTTGGCTTATCCCTCCTGGAACATCAACCCTGTTACATATCTTAGTATCATCAGCAAAAAGACATACCTTACCATCAAGACCTTCTGCAATATAACGAATAAAAATATTAAAGAGAATGGGTCCAAGTACAGATCCCTGAGGTACCACACTGGTGACAAGCCCAAGCTTCGAATATACTCCATTGACTACAACCCTCTGTTGCCTGTCATTCAGCCACTGCCTTACCCATTTAATAATATTGGAATCCAAACTTAAAGATTGCAGTATCTTGATAAGCATTCTATGTGCAACTCTCTGGTTAGTGCCACTGACCTACGCCCAACCACGCATCAGCTTGCTCGCTTCGCTCATTGGTTAACATTGCTCGGCTGAAACTCATAACCAATGGCCGAGTTCATAGATGGCTGGTCTTAGTTCAATGGCAGTATATTCTGGCTCATGAAAATGAACCCCCTCCCTAAGCAATATTAGTCCTCACATAGTCTGCACACTCACATATACACACCTATAGACAAACTCATATATGCAAAAAAACACACAAACACACAGACTCAGACTTACAATTATGCATTCAGGACATGCACACTTACAGTAAGACATTTATACTCTGACACACACAGACAACACACTCACTTTCCCAGACCCAGATACCCACTCACATTCACACACCCAGATATCCACTCACATTCACTGACCCAGATATCCACTCACATCCACAGACCCAGAAACCCACTCACATTCAGAGACCTAGATACCCACTCACATTCAGAGACCCAGATCCCCACTCACATTCACACACCCAGATACCCACTCACTTTCACAGACCAAGATACCCACTCACTTTAACTCTTGGAGGCACAACATAGGTGGTCCACCCTCAATCCTTGTAGCTCCTCAGCATATAATGCACACCGAGCTTCTGTTGCTGAGAGCTACTAATTCCTTGCTGCTCTATATACCATTCCTCACTGTAACAGTAAGTATGTGTGGTGTAGCAGCTCCTACCTGAAGGGAGTTGGACCCTTCAGCCTTCGAGGTGGGAGCTTGTTTCCAACTCCCAAAAGAAGAGACTGAGATAGGTTAACTAAAGCAGTGCACCCAAAATCAGACCCTATACCCTAAATAAAACTGTTCCACCGATGTATTGCAAAAAGCTGCCAGTATTGGAGCATGAAAAGAACTAACTACAGTATATATAAATCTTTATTAATCCCTCTTGAGGGAAATTGAACTAAAATAAATGGAGTGAAAAAAGTGTGTATACAGTGATAAGACTTAAAAATAGGATCATCAATTGATCTATCCAAACAACAGCACTCACACAGTATGAATGTCTCTTGGCTACTATTAGAGATAAAATATTAGCGTGAGCTTGTTGTAGGTAGCTTCTAAATGACAAGTAGTCCGTAATCAACTAGACGTACTGAGGAGTGTGGGCTGAGCTCTTGACAAAGGCGCATGCTGGCGCCGAAACGCGCGTTGAGCATAACGGATACCAATATGTATTTTATTTAGGATCACTATCTACTTTATTAAGAAATTTGGTTTTGGGATTTAATTTATCTTTGAGCTACTAGGGCTTGTCATTCTTACTTTTATTTAACCGTCTAGCCGCTCGTTTGGAAACCTGAGGCACCTTACTCATAGGGAGATTTTTGTTGCCACCAGTCAGCTATGGGTAATAACACTCCCCTGCATTATTAGACCTACTCATTATGCAGTTTTAAGCTGTCATAGCCGTACGCTTGGGAATCTGAGATATTTTCATCCTAGGGTGCTGCGGGAGATTTTCACTGCCACCGGTCGACCATTTATACCTTACAGTTGTTGACCTAGCATAATATTCCCCTGCACTTTTAGACCTACTCAGTATTCTGTGCTAAGACGTCGCTTGCTGTCAACAAGCCTTTAGTTACTTTTGGATCTCTTTATACGGATGTACTATGGGGACTCAGTAAGAGCTCTCTAGATGCTTGGCTTTTGTGGCTTCTGTATGAGCACTTGAGATTCTTGAATTCTGTCCGGCCGGACCAATAAATTACCCCGACGTTCCCTCCGTATACTGTTCAATCAACCGTGGCATTGAGGATTAGATGGTGTGAACTGGGGTGATAGGTGGTTTATCGGCTAACATTCCGACTATATCATTAATTCGGCTTACACTGCCGTTTACCTTCTACCTTCCCCCTAGTATTCCTATACTCTCATTGCATTGGGGATTAGTTGAAGTATTTTAATTGGGGGGACAGTATTATTCGCCGACTAGTATTGAGATTATATCACTAGTTCGGCTTATACTGCTCCCCATATACTCCTATAAACCTTCTGCAATACCCCCACCACCCCTGGTATTAAATTAATTTGACTGTACCCATTACGGACAACTTAAATTAGTAGCAATATATGTGCAATTGTAAGCACATCACTCAATCAAGGTTCACGCTAATAGTCTCTATTCCAGTGGATACATTCTTATTCTTTTCAGCCCACACTCTGTATAGTTGGCTAAGGATACTTTGTCCATTTATAAACTGTTTGTAACAGCTCCCTGTAGTTATTCCAACACTAGCTACGAGGTATGCATATTGTGTGAGCTCAGCCTACACTCCTCAGTATGTCTAGCTGATTACGGACTACTTGTCATTTAGAAGCTACCTACTAGTTCACGCTAATATTTTATCTCTAGTAATAGCCAAGAGACATTCATACTGTGTGAGTGCTGTTGTTTGGATAGATCAATTGATGATCCTATTTTTAAAGGGACACTATAGTCACCTGAACAACTTTAGCTTAATGAAGCAGTTTTGATATATAGAACATTGAAAAAGAAAATAGTGGCTATAGAGCTGGAGACAATCCAGTCCTAGAGCCAAAAAGAGGACTATAGTGGGCAAAAAGAGAGGGCCTAACCCAACAGAGAATTATAGTAGAAGAAATCCCAAAAGCTTAGGGTGTGTGGAGAGAAAAACACAAGTCTATCTGCCACAACACCCACGGCTAAGGGTATGCCCACATTGGGGGTATAGTGTCCCCTGGTGTGTATCAATCAAAAAGATCAAAAAAGTGATAAGATAAAATAAAATAAAAAATACTTTATTGAAAAACGTATAGAGACTATAAAAAATCACAGGGGGTCCAGGGTAGGGGGATGGCCAGTGGTGTGTGAGGCTATAGTAGCACAATAGAAGGCAGCAAGGCAGATACAATAAAGGGTTGTTATATGGCATTAAATATGAAACAAAGGATATCTAGGAGTTTATGTGCTCCAAGTTGCATATCCTAGTAAAATGTATTAGTATAACGTGTTTCAGAAAGGTCCTTAGTTAGAGTGTCTGCACCGGATGTAGTCAAACTGCTATTATGGGAGTACCACACAATGAGATGACTCAAGTGTGGTTCCCTGAAGTTTGTGGCAAGCTAGAAAAACACCCGTTCAATAGAAAGTAAATGGGACGGGTAGAGGATGCTGGTTACACTAGTGAGATAAAACTGGGATCAATAATATAGTATATGTAAATAAAGAGAGAAATTCCTCTAATATATATAGAAAAAGATACCCAGATAGCTCAATTCATCTAGTTGGTAGTCAGCCCACCCAGTTCAGAAGTAATAAGGTGCTTGCAAAAGCAGACAGGGTAGCAACATTTAAAGTATGTTGCTAAAAAGTAGCAAAATATTTACAAATCTCAGTATAATTAAGTGTACCATAGGGTTATTTTGCAGGGAGAGAAGTTGCAATATAGCACTACTTTAAGTCCCAAAGATCTGCCCCTGCCTTCAAAGTAATAAGATAATAAAAAGCAAAAAGAGAAAGGAAGGGAGAACAACTCCCAGCCAGCAGGCACATCACCCACAACAGCCCCCACCCCATGCAATGTAACTGTACAAAACTAAATCGTTGAGAGAGAGAGAGCTACCTAGAAATCTAAATCCAGCATAGTAGGTAAAATAAAAAGGTACTAAAGTAAGGCTGGATTATAAACTAGCACTCAAGAGGGAAGAGTCCGTCTAGATCTAAGTAAAACGTAGGAAGGTGACTAACTAGGCTGAACTACAGTCTAACTCAGCTAACTCCCATATCGAGAAATGACTAGCTAGGCTAAGCTACAAACTGACTCAACTAGCTCAACGCGCGTTTCGGCGCTGTGTGGCGCCTTTTTCAAGAGCGGCAAGGAGATCTCCCTGCCGTCAGGATTTAAATAGGGCTAGTGCCCGCCTCTCCCGTGACGTCATGGCGGGACGTATGAGGCCGCGTCACGGGAGGGGGGGGAGCCAAGGGATGCTCTGGCCGGCAATTATGCCGGTTAGGGAAACAATAGAATCGATGTAAAAAGATGAAGATCATAACTCAAAACGGATACCATAGAGCAAATCCTTGGAAGGTAAAACCTCAAACAGGAACATTATATCGGAGATATATGATGAGGTTGAACAGTATACGTAAAGCATAATCTGCTTTCGATTATGTCATACATATAAAACAGTCAAAAATGCCTGTCGTGGTTAAAATTAAATATACACCAATAGGGATTGAAAATTTGTATTCAAGACTCTATCTAAACAGTTGGTATTATTTAAATTCTTATTCAATCAAAGGGAGGGGACACACACAGTAAAGAAGAAGAGAATTACATATGGTGTATATAGACATCATAAGAAAGGGGAGAAAGAGAACCCCTCATTCAGACCATTAGGATTCAGAGTCTTTAGCCGATAGATCCAAAAACATTCTCTTTGTCTGAGGAATCGGTCATAATCACCACGTCTAGGATTCTTTTTTACCAGTTCTAAGCCGCAGAAGCGTAACCCCTTGGGGTCATTGTTATGATATTCGCGAAGGTGCCTAGAGATAGGGGTTTCAGCCGAATATTTGCTAGATCTAATGTGTTCTTGTATGCGTTTCTTAAAGGGGCGGAATGTTTTGCCCACATATTTTTTATTGCATTCACAGGTAAGTAGATATACAATCCCTGATGTGTTGCAGTTGAAGAAGGAGGTTATAGTAAATGCCTCCTTCTCCATACTGTCTTTGACTATTTTGGAGTCCTTTTTCATAAATTTGCATGAGATGCACCTCCCGCATCTATAGGTACCGGTCAGGCGGGTCTGGAGCCATGTTGTAGAAGATGGAATATCTGTTTTAAGATGACTTGGAGCTAGGAGGTCTCGTAAGTTTTTACCTCTCCGGGCCGTGATGGAGACATTGGGGGCCAGTACTTCTTGAAGGTGTTGATCATTAGTTAGCAGTGGCCAATATCGTCTGAGGGAACTTTTAATATTTTCCCATCCTGCATCGTAGGTGGCAATTAGGCGTATATTATTCTTAGAGGTCTCTGCTGGTTTGGGGGTATCCCCGCTCAACAGGACATTGCGATCTGAGTCAAGTGCTCTCTGGTATGCCCGTTTAAGGCACCTATTAGGGTAACCTTTGGCTTTAAAATGGCCTCTTAATTCTTTAGCCTTTGTCTTGAATTCATCGATGGTACTACAGTTACGTCGGACCCTAAGATATTGACCCGTCGGGATACCCATTTTGAGCGGTATTGGATGAAAACTGTCCCATCTCAAAAGGTTATTAGTTGCCGAGGGTTTACGATAAAGGGTGGTATGTATTTTGTTTTCAGATGTTAAGGAGATCGTTACATCTAAAAAGTTCAAGTTTTGACCCCCAAATTCATTCGTGAATCTGAGGTTTTCATCATTAATGTTCAAGATACGTACGAACTCATTAAACTCTTGTGAGTTCCCCAGCCACACTATGAGCACGTCATCAATGTAGCGACGCCAAAGGAAAATCAAGGGTAAATATTGGGAGATTACTGGATGTTGGAATAGATGTTCCTCCCACCAGCCTAGATGGAGGTTGGCATACGATGGGGCACAAGCCGTCCCCATCGCAGTCCCCCTGATTTGATGATAGTACTTATTTTTGAATAGAAAGTAATTATGTGAAAGGATATATTCAAGAAGCTCCAAACAGAAGGTGGTATGTGCTGTAAATCCCGGGCCTCGTTGTTCCAAAAAATGGCGTATATGGCGAATGCCATTGGAGTGGGGAATGGATGAATAGAGGGCTTCGATATCCAAGCTACATAATTTGGCCGAGGGAGGTACCTCCAGATTCGCTAAGAGGGCCAGGGTCTGTTTGGTATCCTGGAGGTAAGAGGGAAGTTTTTCAACGAATGGTCGTAAGATTTTGTCAATATATATACTACCATTCTGTGTCAAATTGTCTATGCCTGAGACAATGGGGCGGCCAGGGGGTAAGGTCATACTTTTATGTACTTTGGGTAAGCAGTAGAAGGTCGCTATCCTCGGATGGCAATTGAGGATGAATGCATATTCATCTCCTGATAGCAGCCCTCTACTGCGGCCCCTGTCCAGAATCTCCCTATATTTTATAAGGAAGTCATTCGTAGGGTCAGATTTTAAAGTTTTGTATGTATTCTCATCTTCCAACACTTTGAGAACCATTGTAACATAGTCTGTGATATCCATCATGACTATGTTCCCGCCTTTGTCCGCAGGTTTCAAAATAATTTCTGTATTGTTTCTCAGAGACTTAAGTGCCACTTGTTCCCTACTTGACAAGTTCATATTGGGGTGAAAATCAAGGGATCTACTGTCTATTTTATCAATTTCGTTTTTCATTGTTTCTAGGAAAAGATCAATATTACGGTAGTTTCCCAAGTATGGAGTAAATTTACTTTTTAATTTTAAATCAGTGTATTTAGAAGGGTCGGTTTCATTGCTTTCTTCCCATAGGTCCATAAGGGTCATAAGGCATTCATATTCTCTATTGGACATGCCATGGGATTTAGCTTTCTTTTCTTTATTAATCTCATGAAATTTATGTAGAGCAAGTTTCCGGGCAAAGAGATGGAGATCTTTTACCCACATGAATTTATTTAAGGGGGGTACTGGTACAAAGGAGAGCCCTTTCTCTAGAAGTGAGAGATGGTCATTATTCAAGATCTGTTTTGAAAGGTTAATGACTCTTTGATCCGTTACTCGGCAGTTTTCTTGAGTCAAAATCTTCTCCTTCCTGGTCTCCTGCCTCTGTTTCCTTCCCTGTCTCGTGTGGGGTATCTGTTTTTTCGAGTTTGCATACCATCCATGTGGCCCATCTCTAAAAAATTCACCCCTTTTTTAAGTATTCCTTTCGGATTAGTATATGTAGATGTTGTTGAAGTTTGTAATTGTTGGTCAGTTTGTGATCCATTAGAGTTGTCATTGTCAGTATCGGAGGACTCATAATCTGATGTTAAGTAGTTATTAGAGTTTGTCCTAACTCTACGGTTGAAATGTTGATAGACTCTGTTTGTTTGGTAGTCTTTTGAGTCTCTCACAAACTTTTGATGTTTGCGTATCTTAATATTATTTTGAAATTTATCTAAATTGGTTTTCAATCTAGTTTCAAAATGGGTGAATTCTGGGTTAGACTGATATTGTTGTGCACTAACAATCTCCTGTTCAAGGTTAAGGTTAACTTCAGAGATTTTTGCTTTTTCAAATTTTATTAAGATCTCCATAAACCGCTTGGAACATGCTCCGGCTGCAGATTCCCATTCTTGCATTAAGTCAGTATTGTCTGTGTATGAGGATGGTAGATTACGAACCCTAAGGCCCCGTGGAATCATCTCCTTTTTGATATAGTTTTCAAGAGATGACACCTCCCAGCTAGATTTAATTTGTTTTTGGTACAGATTTTGCAAGTTATTAAATGCTTGATTGATATCAGGAGTAGAGTTAGAGCAAGCTAATTGCTCTACTGAGAACACATTGTCCGAGTCAATACACCATAAGTTACTGTCTGGTTTATTAGATAAGAACCCTGTCATGATTGGTATGTGTTGCTTATAATGGATGTATAGGTAGTATATAAATGATAGAGTCTAGATAGTCCTGGTATTAAAACCACACGAAAGTTAATTGAAAAAGAAAATAGTGGCTTTAGAGCTGGAGACAATCCAGTCCTAGAGCCAAAAGAGGACTATAGTGGGCAAAAAGAGAGGGCCTAACCCAACAGAGAATTATAGTAGAAGAAATCCCAAAAGCTTAGGGTGTGTGGAGAGAAAAACACAAGTCTATCTGCCACAACACCCACGGCTAAGGGTATGCCCACATTGGGGGTATAGTGTCCCCTGGTGTGTATCAATCAAAAAGATCAAAAAAGTGATAAGATAAAATAAAATAAAAAATACTTAAGTATTACTGGGCAGACTGATACTGTAGTACCATCGATGAATTCAAGACAAAGGCTAAAGAATTAAGAGGCCATTTTAAAGCCAAAGGTTACCCTAATAGGTGCCTTAAACGGGCATACCAGAGAGCACTTGACTCAGATCGCAATGTCCTGTTGAGCGGGGATACCCCCAAACCAGCAGAGACCTCTAAGAATAATATACGCCTAATTGCCACCTACGATGCAGGATGGGAAAATATTAAAAGTTCCCTCAGACGATATTGGCCACTGCTAACTAATGATCAACACCTTCAAGAAGTACTGGCCCCCAATGTCTCCATCACGGCCCGGAGAGGTAAAAACTTACGAGACCTCCTAGCTCCAAGTCATCTTAAAACAGATATTCCATCTTCTACAACATGGCTCCAGACCCGCCTGACCGGTACCTATAGATGCGGGAGGTGCATCTCATGCAAATTTATGAAAAAGGACTCCAAAATAGTCAAAGACAGTATGGAGAAGGAGGCATTTACTATAACCTCCTTCTTCAACTGCAACACATCAGGGATTGTATATCTACTTACCTGTGAATGCAATAAAAAATATGTGGGCAAAACATTCCGCCCCTTTAAGAAACGCATACAAGAACACATTAGATCTAGCAAATATTCGGCTGAAACCCCTATCTCTAGGCACCTTCGCGAATATCATAACAATGACCCCAAGGGGTTACGCTTCTGCGGCTTAGAACTGGTAAAAAAGAATCCTAGACGTGGTGATTATGACCGATTCCTCAGACAAAGAGAATGTTTTTGGATCTATCGGCTAAAGACTCTGAATCCTAATGGTCTGAATGAGGGGTTCTCTTTCTCCCCTTTCTTATGATGTCTATATACACCATATGTAATTCTCTTCTTCTTTACTGTGTGTGTCCCCTCCCTTTGATTGAATAAGAATTTAAATAATACCAACTGTTTAGATAGAGTCTTGAATACAAATTTTCAATCCCTATTGGTGTATATTTAATTTTAACCACGACAGGCATTTTTGACTGTTTTATATGTATGACATAATCGAAAGCAGATTATGCTTTACGTATACTGTTCAACCTCATCATATATCTCCGATATAATGTTCCTGTTTGAGGTTTTACCTTCCAAGGATTTGCTCTATGGTATCCGTTTTGAGTTATGATCTTCATCTTTTTACATCGATTCTATTGTTTCCCTAACCGGCATAATTGCCGGCCAGAGCATCCCTTGGCTCCCCCCCCTCCCGTGACGCGGCCTCATACGTCCCGCCATGACGTCACGGGAGAGGCGGGCACTAGCCCTATTTAAATCCTGACGGCAGGGAGATCTCCTTGCCGCTCTTGAAAAAGGCGCCACACAGCGCCGAAACGCGCGTTGAGCTAGTTGAGTCAGTTTGTAGCTTAGCCTAGCTAGTCATTTCTCGATATGGGAGTTAGCTGAGTTAGACTGTAGTTCAGCCTAGTTAGTCACCTTCCTATGTTTTACTTAGATCTAGACGGACTCTTCCCTCTTGAGTGCTAGTTTATAATCCAGCCTTACTTTAGTACCTTTTTATTTTACCTACTATGCTGGATTTAGATTTCTAGGTAGCTCTCTCTCTCTCAACGATTTAGTTTTGTACAGTTACATTGCATGGGGTGGGGGCTGTTGTGGGTGATGTGCCTGCTGGCTGGGAGTTGTTCTCCCTTCCTTTCTCTTTTTGCTTTTTATTACTTTGAAGGCAGGGGCAGATCTTTGGGACTTAAAGTAGTGCTATATTGCAACTTCTCTCCCTGCAAAATAACCCTATGGTACACTTAATTATACTGAGATTTGTAAATATTTTGCTACTTTTTAGCAACATACTTTAAATGTTGCTACCCTGTCTGCTTTTGCAAGCACCTTATTACTTCTGAACTGGGTGGGCTGACTACCAACTAGATGAATTGAGCTATCTGGGTATCTTTTTCTATATATATTAGAGGAATTTCTCTCTTTATTTACATATACTATATTATTGATCCCAGTTTTATCTCACTAGTGTAACCAGCATCCTCTACCCGTCCCATTTACTTTCTATTGAACGGGTGTTTTTCTAGCTTGCCACAAACTTCAGGGAACCACACTTGAGTCATCTCATTGTGTGGTACTCCCATAATAGCAGTTTGACTACATCCGGTGCAGACACTCTAACTAAGGACCTTTCTGAAACACGTTATACTAATACATTTTACTAGGATATGCAACTTGGAGCACATAAACTCCTAGATATCCTTTGTTTCATATTTAATGCCATATAACAACCCTTTATTGTATCTGCCTTGCTGCCTTCTATTGTGCTACTATAGCCTCACACACCACTGGCCATCCCCCTACCCTGGACTCCCTGTGATTTTTTATAGTCTCTATACGTTTTTCAATAAAGTATTTTTTATTTTATTTTATCTTATCACTTTTTTGATCTTTTTGATTGATACACACCAGGGGACACTATACCCCCAATGTGGGCATACCCTTAGCCGTGGGTGTTGTGGCAGATAGACTTGTGTTTTTCTCTCCACACACCCTAAGCTTTTGGGATTTCTTCTACTATTGATATATAGAACATGCCCCTGCAGCCTCACTGCTCAATCCTCTGCCATTTAGGAGTTTAATCCCTTTATTTATGAACCCTAGTCACACCTCCCTGCATGTGACTTGCACAGCCTTCCATAAACACTTCCTGTAAAGAGAGCCCTATTTAGGCTTTCTTTATTGCAAGTTCTGTTTAATTAAGATTTTCTTATCCCCTGCTCTAGCAAGAGCCTCCTGTATGTGATTAAAGATCAATTTAGAGATTGAGATACAATTATTTAAGGTAAATTACATCTGTTTGACAGTGAAACCAGTTTTTTTTTTTTCATGCAGGCTCTGTCAATCATAGCCAGGGGAGGTGTGGCTAGGACTGCATAAACAGAAACAAAATGATTTAACTCCTAAATGACAGTGAATTGAGCAGTGAAATTGCAGGGAGATGATCTATACACTAAAACTGCTTTATTTAGCTAAAGTAATTTAGGGGACTATAGTGTTCCTTTAAAGTCTGGTCACTGTACACAAACTTTTTTCACTCCATTTATTTTAGTTCAATTTCCCTCAAGAGGGATTAATAAAGATTTATATGTACTGTAGTTAGTTCTTTTCATGCTCCAATACTGGCAGCTTTTTGCAATACATCGGTGGAGCAGTTTTATTTAGGGTATAGAGTCGGATTTTGGGTGCACTGCTTTAGTTAACCCATCTCAGTCTCTTCTTTTGCTATTGTAGTTTTGGGTCATGCCCTGATACCCTTCAACCAATAACAACTCCAGTGGATTGACCAATTTGGTCTTTTCACTGTTGTTGTACTATTTGTTTCCCACTCCCTCGAGGTCTGATCACACGTGCTGCAGTATCACTATGTAATGGGAGGGCTTGCAGCCTCCAGGCTTCGATGGTGTGCCGTACCAATTCTGCTGTTCAAAACACTGGGAGTGTGAGTTATGAGGGGCAGCTGCCGTGGGCTTACGGTAGCTGCTAATTGTATCCTTCATCAAAGGACTCTAATAACGGTGTACTGCCAAAAATATTTAAGAAATCCAGGTCTCTGGCCACGTGCTAGAAATTTTGTTTTTTGCGGCACCTTGCTGTGGCACCCTAAGGTGGCCGCCTGTGCCGCCTTATGGATGCACCGGCCCTGGATATAAATTGCCGAGCACTTATTTAAATAGCATAAACCAGTGTTAAACTATGAATACACCTTTGAACGTTGAATGACAACGCGACTCTTGGTCAAAGACATGCCTATTGTTATGCATTGCACGGCTAGGACTCTCTCCAACTCAAGCTACTGTTTAGCCCAAATGCATCATACCTCAATAGTATAACTTGTACTCATTTATTTGCATGTCCCAATACACTGAGAACCGTAAAACGCAAACAAAATCCGGGGATCTCCCCCTCTATTGACCCTTATGCACTGTGCATTCTGCCAGTACCCTTTATTTGCTATACTTAGATTTGTTTAAACGCTTAGCCAACCTACTGGAACCCTAGGCATTTCACCTCTTACTATGTTAATACAGCCTTAGATTCCATGCCTAGACACTCAGTTTAGCCTACCTACCACGCATACATTAATGAGCATGTGCCTTGTGAGACAGATACACTAGCAAAGAATTATGCATGTTAATAGCCTAGATCAGTCATATGTATTAACCCCTTGTACCCACAATGCTGGTTATTGCGACCTACATTTACCAATAACATGATCTAATCAATACTAATCTCAAACTTAAACAAAAAATGTGTGCTGATAATCCTAATGTTCCAATTGTTTTGCCTGAAAATGTGCTTGAGGAATGCTATTGGGGCACCAAGAGCTTATTTGTTATGTTACCCAAAGCACAACAAAAATAAAGAATAAAAAAAAAAACAAAAAAACTATGAATACACCACAACATATATACAATATACTCATAAGTTATTTCATAAAGACATGAAAAAGAAACTTATAAAACTTATACAAATCAACACATCCCCCCAGCTTCCTCTCATAATATAAGAGGTATAAACATTCCCATTAGAGGATTGAAAAACAAAACAGAAAAACTGAAAATGTATGCAATATATCATCAAGCACAGCCCATAGTTGGTGTTTAAAGCATAGATTTTAAAAAAACCTCAACAACTAACTACCAATTGACAAAGTCTGTCTCTTCGAATAAAAATCATCTAAATTCCACAGCCTTTATACATTTAGAATGCAGTTTATTATATGTTTTTTTTTTTTTTAAATAAATAGTTGTATTTTATTACCTTCTCGTTCCTGAGTCTGGTACAATTTTTAGCTTCTATACATTCCATTGGATTCTTCTGTAGTAGATTGTTAGAATGTTACCCTAATACACACATTCTGTTTGTACTCAGAGCCTCGTTAAAACGGCTCTCTTTCATTTAAGTGGGCTATACCATATTTTATTCTAGCTTGATGTTTAAATCTGCTTCATTCGAAGTATAACATTGGTTTGTGCACATTAAATGACCTCTTCACATTGATCGGACGTTTTCACTTTATTATTGTTAGTGTGATATCAAAGAGGAAGCTCAAACTGTCAAACACTCAAACAGTCTTCTTATTGTATAAACTAGCATAATTAATATGTAATACGTGCATAACAGCACATCACTTTCTGGGTTACTCACTAACGTGAAAATGTATAGTGAATTTTAACACAATTTCAAATCAAAAAAGCTGAACTAAAAAAAAAAATGTCGGGGGCGGAGCCAAGCCACTGACCTGAGCGGACGCATTAGCACTGTCCTCTGGGCCAAAACCGCTAAAAAAGGGGATAAAAAACACTTTTTTTTTCAAGCCTCCTACCCGAATCCCCACAGACCCCGACAACTATGGGCAGGAAAACAAAGAAACTGAGATCCGACAGACCCAAACCGGGTATGAATATCGGCGATCTCCTCCGCCAAGCACATGGTGCGTGTGGGCTCAAGATGGCCGTGGTCCTGGATGATTTTTCAGAAAACTCGGAAGAACTGTCGCTGTATGAAGAAGAAGATGGCCACATGTTGGCACTACAACACTCACCTAAGCAGAGTCGGCTCTATAATTAGGCGATTTAGGCGGCCGCCTAAGGCCTCGCACAGTCAGGGGCCTCGCGGCCGCCTAAATCGCCTGAGGGCAGACTGACATGTCGGGTTCTCGGTCTCTGACCGAGGACCCGACACAGGAGGGGGCACGGCGGCTTGCCCTTTGTGCCGCTGGGTGCCAGGCCCCTCCTGTCAGTCCGCCCGGGGAGAGAGCCGGCCTCAGTCTGCAGCTCCGCCGGGTGTGAGCTGCAGACTGATGTCTCGCAATCTCCAGCCAATCAGAGCGTTGCCGCGGGTTACCACGGCAACGCTCTGAATGGAGATCGTGAGACATTCCCCATGTGGTCTGCAGCTCTGCATCCGGCGGAGCTGCAGACCGGAAAGCCCACTGGACCACCAGGGACAGAATAACCCCACTGGACCACCAGGGAAAAAGGTAAATTTTGACCCCACCTCACCCTGCACCCCACCTGTCACCCCCCTCACCCTGTCACCCCCTCTCACCCTGCACCCCACCTGTCACCCATCCTCACCCAGCCACCTCACACTGTCAACACCCTGTCACCCCCCCTCACCCTGTTACCCCCCTCACCCTGCCACCTCACCCTGCACCCCACCTGTTACCCCCCCTCCTGCCACCTCACCCCCCTCACCCTGTTTACCCCACCTCACCTGTCACCCCTCACCTTTGCACCCACCTGTCACCCCCTCACTCCCTGCCACCTCACTGTCACCCCATGTCCGGCACCCTGTCACCCCCTCTCACCCTGCCACCTCACCCTGCACCCCATGTTACCCCCCCCTCCCACCCTGTCACCACCCCTCACTGCCACCTCACCCCTGCACCCCATAATGCCCCCCTCCCCTGCCACCCCATCTGTCTTTATGTCAACACCTGTCACCCCCCCTCACCCCGTGACCCCCTCACCTGCTACCTCACACTGTTACACCCCTAATGTCAACACCCTGTCACCCCCTCACCCTGCTCACATTGTCACCCCTGTCAACACCCCCTGTCACCCCCTCACCCTGTCACCCCCCCCCTCACCCTGCTGCCTCACACTGTACCCCTGTCACTCACTGTCACCCCCCCCCTCACCCTGTCACCCCCCTGCCCTGCCTCACACTGTCACCCCTGTCAACACCCTGTCACCCCCCCCTCACCTGGGGTTTGTCACCCCTCACCCACCTCACACTGTCACCCACCTGTCACCCCCTGTCAGCACCCTGTCACCCCCCCCCCCTCACTGTCACCCCCCCTCACCCTGCCACTTCACTGTCAGCACCCTGTCACCCCCCTCACCCTGCCACTTCACACTGTCACCCCATCTGTCACCCCCCTCAACCTGCCACCCCATCTGTCACCATCATCTCACCCTGCCACCCCACCTGTCACTCCCCTGTCTTATACACACAAGTCAACTGCTGTTTTTTTCCAATAATGGTGAGTGGGGGCCTCATGTATGAGTTTCAGCCTAAGGCCTCGCCAAGTCTAGAGCCACCACTGCACCTAAGCCCAAGACAGTGACTTCTAAACCAGTGACAGCTGAAATGATACAGGACATGCTAAGTGCCCTCCAGAGAACCTTGCAGGCAGATGTAGCCCAGCTGCACACCGACATCACAGGCCTGGTGAGCCGCATTGACACAGTAGAAATGGCCTTGGCGCAGCACACCCAAACCATAGCTCAACTACAGTGGGACATCGAGGCACTCACTAAAAAGCAAGCTGCCTCTGACATGCACTTCGCCCAGCTAAAAGACACACGACATCGCATCAACCTGAAAATCCGGGGGATACCGGAGGAGGTACCCGCGGCAGAGCTCCCACATCTACTTCGGAGACTACTGGCAGACTTACTAGAGCCCAAGACCTCCAGGGCTATACACAAGGAGAGCGCCTTCCGGGTACCGAAACCGAGAGGAGCGCCCAACACGGCATCTCGTGACCTAATTGTGAGGTTTTGCAGCGGAGCTGACAAAGCACTAGTCCAGGCGGCCCTGAAGGGGACTACCACCCTTAATTTCGAGAACATGGCTCTATCCTTTTTTGCTGACCTATCAGGTGAAACACTGCACTGGCGCAAGACGATGAAACCCCTCATGGCCGTGCTGCGCACCCATGGCGTGGAATACCGCTGGAGATCCCCACGCGCACTTCAAGTAAGGCCAGGAAAAGAGACACATAGAGCCACAGACATCTCGGAAGCCCCCACGCTCCTTGTAAAACTTTGGCTACCAGGGGACACCCTCCACCGACCTGGCGACCAACCGACGACATCGGCGACACACCAATGGGACATAGCAAAGATCAAGCCATTCACCCCGATGGGAGCCAAACCGATAGCAGCTGCCAACAGCGGACAGTAAAAGATCGGCACCTCTAGCCCTAAAAACCTGGGACTTACCCAATCAGTGCCTCACAACTGATTGGACTCAGACTTGCTCTAGTAGCATCAGTGCCAAAAAGTAAATCTCGATGGATAAAATATGCGTGCTGTTGTGGAACATTACACATGCTTGTTATTTTCTTGCACAGGAAAAATAAAGAACTAAAAAAAAAAATGTCTAAGTTAATTATTCTTTCAATTTAGCTATAAATTTAGTAAATAACTTTTTTTCTTCTTCTGTAATTAGAATCAAAAACTGGAAAATGTGTTTAATATAGAATTTGCCTTATTTTAGAAGACTTAGGGACAACATTACCTGATGCGCTTATAGGCATTAACTCTATATTTTCTCGAGTCAAACGCATTTCTCTTTGTCTCCTCTATATTAACACATACAAATATGAGGCTATATTTAAAGTATACAGATGTTAACAACTGTATTTTTATTGATGCCAACTTTTGTTGGTTCCATATCTGCATTTATTATTGATATTTGATTTGGAAAGTATACCTCCTTAATTACTTGTGGTAACAACCACACCCAATAAATATCTCACCGTATTTTTTACCCGCATTTGTTTTTCACTGTAAATCTCACCCCAGTTTCCTTTCCCTATCTTTTCTCTTTCACCTTTTGTGTAATCTAGCGTGTTCTGAAATAAAACATTAAGAGCTTCCTTATGAGAAAGACCCCCTCCCTCCGAAGCATTTTTTTGTGGTTTACGGTTTTAACTTACTTTAAACTATGGTCCTGGAGAGACTACGCCTAGTTGTTAAAATACCAGAACAATGCATACATGATTAACGTTCTCAAGATAATTTTTTTTTTTATCAGTAACCTGAAAAGTTTGTAGCAAATTATGGATTCAATCCAATATTGTTCGTTAAGCTTTATAAATTATTTAATATTTTTGGATAACTTTTTTAAACTATTATTTTAAAATATATTAATATATAAAAATATATATATATATCATATATTAAAAAATATGTATCCTAAATAAAAATAAAACATTTTAATGTTTTTCATAATGTTAAATAATTTTAAAGGTTTATCCAAAATATTATTAAATCATTTTAAAAAGCTTATTAGACAATACTAAATCCCAGCCTATGTATGTTTCTAAAACAAAATACACATTTTTAAATAAAAATAGTGTTTTTTCATTCCCTTTATAGTATATTAAGTAGTATATTGCTGTCTAACAGTATTTAACTAAGCATACTCACGTGCATTGATCACTAGCATATAGGCCATTGCTTTTATTTCATATTAAGTGATAAGATATTAATAAATATTAAGATATTAAAGGAGTACTATAGGGTCAGGAATACAAATGTGTTTTCCTGACCCTAGAGTGTTAAAAACACTATATAGGTGGCCAGCTCCCTTTGCCCCCTTAAAGAGGATGAAAACTTACCCTTATTACTGGCCCTGCCCCCGATTTGCCTCCTTAACTGATATCATCAGAATTGCATTAGGAAAGCATGAGATTGTCAATTCTGATTATCCCAGCCAAGGAGATGGGGTGAGGGTGGGCAGAGCCAAACACAGTGATGACCAAGCAGCATCTCCTATTAGAGTTGCATTTAATCAATGCATCTTCATATGAAAAATTCAGCATACTAGAGGTGTCAATAGGCAGCAATGTAAAAAAGCCTACAGACTATATTCACCAGAACAACTACATTAAGTTGTAGTTGTTTTTGTGACTATAGTGTCCCTTTAAAGGTACACTATAGTCACCCAGACCGCTTCAGCTCATTGAAGTGGACTGGGTGCATAGTCCCAGGTCCCTTAACCCTGCAAAGGTAATTATTGCAGTTTTTAATGAACTGCAATACTTACTTTTGAGGGTTTACTCCACCTCTAGTGGCTGTCTACCAGACAGCCACTAGAGGGACTTCAGAGTCATTAGGCGAGGGACATCGGCGCTGGAATGAGGTAACAGAAGGTAATTTTAACTCCTTCTGCATCACTGTGGGGGTGGTTGAGGGAGGGGGTGGACCCACCAGTAATGTCATGTGTACTTTGAAACTGTGTATAGTGAGTTTAGTATATTTTACTTTGGTTTTACTGGAGATGTGACTAAGACAGAGGTTACACACTTCTAGTTATACCAAATCATACCAGCAATGGGTGCTTCTATGGACTCAAAGTGGTCAGCTGACACTCCTAGGCAATCACAGAACTCCAGACAATATTATGATGGTTTAGGCACTCTAGGTAAATCCAAAGTGAGCAGATTTATTGGAGCAGATGAAAAGCAACGTTTAAGCCCACAATAGGGCCTTTGTCAAGCTGTGGGACGAAACTCTGCTTTCATGCTCCAATAAACCTACTCACTTTGGATTTATCTTGAGTGCCTGGGCCATCATTTATTTTCTGCAAATTATATTGTGAGGATTGGCCAACTCTGGGCCGGTTACAACCTGAGATCCAGGCGAATGCGGGATCCTTTATGGTAATTATATCCCGAGAATATTATGACTTTAACAAAATGAAGCACTTGCAGTATCTACAGTGTCAGGAAAATGCCAATAGATATAGGATTTAGGATTCTCGGGCTTTGTACTCACCATACTGTAAACATCAACTGCCATCAATGTGAGTTTAGCAGAAAATGATGTTAGTTGAACTCCACCGCATCTCAGCTGATCTGATCCCTAGAGGCCTAAGGGAGTTAGGATTAAGATTACAGAGAGGTGGTTTAGCCTTCAGACTGCTGTGTATTGCAAATATTATCATGCCCAGCCGTGATGAATCTTAGCAACACAGTAACACCAGCTCTCAGAATGTAGCATTTGAGAAATATATATATATATATATACGACTAATCAAATATATATATATATATATATATATATATATATTATCAAAAATTATGGCTGCACTCCTCTGGCTTCGTTTAAAATCCAAATAGTTTATTGGGTATACATTAAAATCGAGATCAACGTTTCAACCCCACTCTGGGCTTTCCTTAGGATCAGAAAATACATACATGTGTAATGTAACACATGTATGTATTTTCTGATCCTGAGGAAAGCCCAGAGTGGGGATGAAACGTTGATCTAGATTTTAATGTATACCCAATAAACTATTTGGATTTTAAACGAAGCCCAAGTAGTGCAGCCATCATTTTGGATATTCTATGTGAAATTAGCCTGCTGACTTCTGCACCCGGCATTATCTAAGAAAGCGTGAGTGCAAGGAAACTTCTGTCTTTTATATATATATATATATATTTATAAATTATCTGATCATTGGCCTAGTGTGTCTACAGTAAAGAAGACTAAGTTCATACTTAGCTGATAAGTTAATTGTCTCCAGGGTGCTTTCAGACAATGCATTGCTGCACCTGTCTGAGGTTATGAGTAGCTTCGAATCTGCGGTTTCCTCTCCTTTCACTGCAGGTGACTACGGATGTGGTTAAGGGTGGAAGTCATAATATGCTGCTTTTAATATAGTGCACATGCTACACTCTGAATGAAGATGATTTTGATCTCCAGTTGCAGAAATAAAAGATCCAAGAGTACATCAATTCACTTTAATTAACATGATGGCCTTTATATGTGTCAAAGCTTCTATTACACAATGATGTACACACGGCAGAGAACGGAACTGTGCAACCAGCCGAGGCATCCGATGACACACATATGGAATTTTTATCTTTTTTTAATAAATAATTTCTATTTAAGTCCCCCAAGTTCAGCTGTTTACTTATCTGTACTGAGTGAATATACGCTCAATCAGCTATTGTAGGATGATGCATTATTTCTCTGTTTGTTCAGAGAGTTATAGAACATGGAAAACTGAAACGTTCAGTTTTCTCAGCCCCCATCATGGAATGTTCTGCTTACTCCCATTTAACCATCCTGCTGGCCAAATCACAACGGTACCTACTGATAGACTGCTCTTCAGAGTGCAATCAGCGTATACCCACTCCCACAAGCATTATTCAGTGTTTTGGTGTTGGAGAATACTCTGATATGGCATCATTGCTCATGTACATGCATATGCACAGAGCCAGATTAAGGTTGCCCATTGCCTTAGTCAGGTTGCCAAACAAGAGTCCTCACCTAGACCCTGGGTCTGTTTCTGTGAGTGCTGTGTGTCTGTTTGTGTGAGAGTGTGTGTAGAGACTGAGTGTTGTCTGTGTGGAGGAGGCTAAACATGTCTGTGTGTCTAGCATTATGTACCTGTGTATGTGCCTGACAGTGTGTGTCCATTTCTGACTGAGTGTGTCTGTTTGTGTTTTTTCTTTGTTGTGTTTATTGTCATGCTTTGTTCCAAGTGTGGGAGGTGACTGTGTATAATGATTGCTACTTTCAGGGATTTGACTGTGGCATGGCAGAGGTGAGGGGTAGGTGAGTGGGGTAGGTGAGTGGGAAAAGGTAGGTGAGTGTGACACTCTATAGGCATTTAAATCTTTCAAGATGAACAGTTATGAGTTGGGGCTTCTTTAATAGCTAAAAATATAATTTAACCCATATCGTGCAGTAATTTAAATCTGGCTTATGTTTGCAAAATATATTCTAAAATAAATTTTTTTTAAATAGATTATTAAAATGTTTTTTTATATTTCTTTTTTTCTCTTTTTTAGCAGTGTGTGGGGGAGTACACAACCCCGGCAGATGATGAGGCCGACAATTTTACCATTGATTACTACGGGTTTGAAGAACAATGTAAAAAAAAGGAAGTTCGTGAATTCCGCTCCATATTTCTTCCTGTCATGTTCGTTATGATCTTCTTGGTGGGACTTGCAGGGAATGGACTGGTGATGCTCAGATACTTCTACTTTAAACGACTCAAGACTGGAACAGACTATTACATGATGAACCTTGCTATAGCAGACATGCTATTCCTCCTAACACTGCCTTTCTGGGCTTTCAGCGTAGCCTCAGATTGGGCATTCGGAAACAAGATGTGCAAAATCATCTACTGTCTGTACAAAATGAGCTTCTTTAGTGGCATGTTCCTGTTGATGTGTGTGAGCTTTGAAAGATACTTTGCCATTGTTCATTCACCCTCTGCTCATCGTCACAGAACCAAGACCGTGTTGATAAGTAAGCTATCTTGCGTTGGCATTTGGGTAGTAGCCTTTATCCTTTCCATTCCTGAGTTGATCTACAGTGGAATAAAAGCGAGAAATAATTTAACAAAGTGTGTAATATTATCCGAAGAAATCAATAGCCTTACTATACAGTTGAAAATAGCTCAGATGTTCTTTGGCTTTATTTTGCCTCTGTTTATCATGTCCTTTTGCTACTCTATGATAATCAATAGGCTGCTCCAGGCTCGTAACTTTGAGAAATACAAAGCCATCAAAGTCATCATTGCCATCGTCATTGTTTTTGTAGTCTTTCAGCTACCTTATAATAGCGTAATAGTTATAAAAACCATAAGCAACACCACCGACTGCAAATTAAGCAAGCAGCTGGATATTGCCGATGACGTTACATACACCTTGGCCTGCTTCCGCTGCTGTCTGAACCCTTTTCTCTATGTTATTATTGGAATCAAGTTCAGGAATGACCTTTGCAAACTCTTCAAGGACATTGGTTGCATGAGCCAAGAGAAGCTCAGTGAATGGTCAACAGCAGTAAAACCAAGCAAGAGAACTTCCTTTGCACTGGAAACAACTGAGACATCGACTACATATTCTCCATGAAAACAAAACTCAGCAATATCAACATATTCCTTATTCCTCACTGCTTTTGTGATATGAATAATGCTGACAGAGAAAAATCTAGGCAAAAATAAACAATGGATTTTATCAAAGCTCTTTTGCTTTTTGGAACGTTTAAATAAAATGGAGAGAATGATTACATGTCATACATTTCAGGTTTCAACTTTTAAACCATGCATATTGAAGGAAACATGTTTTGAGAAGTCAAGAAACCCTATGGCATTGTCATCATTAGTATTATATGATCGCCAACGCACCTAAGCGTCACGATTCAAAACAGAAAGCCTGGACTGTATCTAATGGACGAAATGCAAATTACTTTTACGTTTTCATTGTGTTCGAGAAGCTCTTAAAACCTTTAAACTCTGATTGAGTTGTGTCCGGGTCAAGTGAGAATCCTGCTTATCCACCAGAGAATGAACCCAGATGTTGTGGGGAATGAAAGATTTACGATTTTCAACTAAGAGTGTAATCTAGTTACATGTTTTGAAATATGAACCATGCAAGGGAAATGTACAGATTTCAAAGTGGTTTGCAATTCCCCTTTGTAAAGAAACACACTTATGCATGACCTGTGTTACTCAGGCAGTGCTCCAGATTATTTAAGAGTTACTAGCTAACAAAAAAAATATGGCTATGGGATAAGGTTCTATAAAGTAAAAAATGTTTTAAAAAAGCCCAACTGTGTTATGTTTTTATCAAGGTTCAACATTATTTCCACTTGCCACCAGAGTAGGGTTACCCTTTAGGCAAACATAGATGGCCATCTAGGGGTTAGACAGGTGCCATATAACCACAAATTTGTTTGTCCCCATTAACCATCCCTATGTGAAGAGTTTAAGAGAGGGATGCAAACTAATGACCTGCTTGGGCCCTGTGGGATCTTAACCCTTGTCTGCTCACGATTAGCCATTGACAAGTGAAAGATTTGCCATAGTGAGTATGAATTCATCCATGATGAGTGTGGCATAGATTCTACAGGCGTGCAGTGGTGATAAACCTTTAAAGCCTGCCTAGTATTGTAGGGCATGATATTTTAGTTTTGACTTCCAAATATGCCGTGCCAATGTTGCCAACGCACATTTCCAAACAGCTTGCTTTTGGAATACAGTATGTGCTATCTCTGTGTCATTATCCAATTATGTTCACGAAGTTTTATGTTCTATAACTCACCATAGATGTGTTTTTTCTATAGTTGTTAAGGTAGGATGGAAATTAAAGGTCCTGTAACGGACCGTTTTGCCCAAAAGAGGTTAAAAACCGTTTAGGCGATATTCCCCTTTTTCAGCTGCACCGACAGCTACTGCAAGCACCAATCTCCTGAACTGCAAACCTACGAATTCACCAACTCCCGAACTGCAACCAAGGGAATACTCGAAACTCCCGAACTGGATACACACGAACAGCTGCTAGCAGACAAACAGGAAAAGCCCCCAAGCGGCTTACACTCCTGGCAATCAGTCTCTAACAGCATACAGTAAATCCTCCCCCAATAATGAGACAACACTTCACTTTGAGGGTTAAGCAGGAACTCATTTACTGGGGCTAACTGCCCGGCTTTTATGCAGGTCTCCCTGCATAAAATGGGAGACTGGGACACAAAGGGTAAAAGGACCAATCACAGACTTACACATTTCAACCATCCCACAATGCATCACAATCCCTCCTCTCTGCCCTGGAGATAATTTGGGAAGTAATTCAATTATCTCCAAAGACAGAGGCAAAACTCCATTAACCACATGGCAGAAAACAAACAGTAAAAGACATAAAATTACCTACAGTTACATTCAGTACATAAAACATATATGTTCTACATATCCCCAGATAGCTCAGGTCTGAGCGCACATTTTTAAGCGAATGGCGCTCAGACCACACAAATACAGTTTAATCGCCATGGAGCCAAAGTCTTTACACAGTCAGTTTCATGCGAATGGGCTCCATGGGATTCCTATCTGGGGCACAACACACTCAAACAAATCTACCGAACACCCGGCAGAAAAGCACGAACAAGTCTTTTCTGCAGGGAAAAAAGATGTCTTTTAACATGGGGCCATAGTCCAAAGGCAGCAGGCGAGCAACCAGGCTTCTCCAGGGTACAGTGGCGAGGTTGGTTTCGCCACAGGTCCACAACAATATTTTTATTGTTTTGGGAAAAATGCGACCACAGTTATGACAGGTCTGAATGAAGATACTGAAAAGTCACAAGAAAGAGGAATCGTAAGGCCATAAAGTTGTATGTCTAAAGTTGTTCTTTAAATTACCTGTACAAATTGTACCTGTGTATGCTGGTTCTCTTATGTCTTTGCACCTTTATCACTTCTAAACTGTTTGCTAACATTTTTTTGTATGTTGTATTCATTTTTGTTTTGTTTTGTTTTTTATATACATTTACTGTAAGCTATTTTCAGATTAAATTAGTTATTTCTACCTTCACCACTCTATTGTTTTGATTTGTAGTCCTTAAAGGAGTACTGACAGTTCCCCATATTTTTTATATTACATTTACTTATCAAGTATTTGGAGGTATAAAAAATAAAATGAAATGTAGAAATATGCACCTCTTTATTCTGTTACTGGGTGTTTACACCTTGGCTCCCTGTTATAAACTCTGTTCTTTGCACATGGCACTGAGCATCCAGAGAGGAAGAGAAATGAAAAAATATATATTTTTCCTCCTCAACTGCAGTGTTTGTTCTGGATTTGCCTTGTCTAGACTGGACTGTTACATAATTTGTGACATAATTTGATTAATCCCCAACATCTCATGAAAATAACAAACAAAACATTTTTATTGTTTTATTCTATGGTATAATTTCCATGGAAGTAACAATTTCTCTTTAATAATAGTAGGATGATACTAAAAGCTAAGTTATTAACGATATAGATTCTAAGTCAGATTTATAAAAAAAAATTCCATTATTGTTCTCCATTCGGGACTATTACAAGCAATTGACTATTCATAAATAGGACTTTACATTGGACACAAGGTCTCGCATATAGACTGAAATAAAGGAGATTTAGTCTAAGGCAAATTAAATGTTTTTTTTTTTTTACAGTAAGAACAATAAGGATATGAAATTCTCTGCCTGAAGAGTCCATACAGATGTTTAAACAGCAATTAGTAAATACTTGCATAAGCATAATATACAGGGATATACATTTTAATTAGTGGGGTAATAGCTTCTGTATTCAAGGAGATATCTGACTGCCATTCTGGGGTCAAGAAGGATTTTTTTCCTAGTTTGTTGCACAATTGGAAGTGCTTCAGACTGGGTTTTTTGCCTTCTTTTGGATCAACAGCAAAAAATGAAATATGAGAAAGGCTGAACTTGATGGACGCAAGTCTCTTTTCAGCTATGTAACTACGCATTTCTTCCCTGTTTAACACTTTGCCCAAGAAATTAACTTTTTTTGCCCTGATGTGTTTTGCTAATTGGTGTTGGATTATGTAGAACATTTGAGCAATTTAGTTATTAGATATGCCCTGGTAACAATTGATAATCTCTGGGTGTATAAGTATGATCTTTGGCTCTGCTTTCTTAGCAGATGCTTGGTGCTATTCACTCATTCAGGCTCACACTATCCTCTTTAACACGACAGAAGAAAGAATTTGAATATCATGTTTGGTTTCTATGGTAATTAATATTTTATCCCAAGCTATCATGACGTTGATGCTGTCACGGATGTTACCCCAATACGCAGAGTATAACCTCAGTAATATATTGTGTTGCCAGTCCTTAGAGGTGGCCGAACTGCGTAAAATAGGCAGAGAGTAAACTCGGGACTAGACAGAATTAAAGGAAACCAGCAATCAGGATGACGATAAGACAAGCCAGGTTACGGATACCAAGGAGGGAAGCACAACAGGGCTCTGGGCACTTGGAACTGTGATGTTAAATAGGCTGGAGGTGTAATTGCTATAACCACGCCCTCAATTTATGAGGGGGTGGTAATTATTCCATGATTTTAAATTTCTTTGAAATCTTGACAAAGGCTTACATGCACCTCGATAAAAAAAAGGGGCGTGTGCAGATCGGCTGGTGCCAGTGTTGCTATAGGAGCCAGCAGGCACTGCGAAAATGGCGGTCCGCCAGATCGGAACTCCCCTTGACGGTAAGTTAGCATGTGTACTCCTAACAGATGCATCTTAAAAATATTCAACAAATATCACTATCAATTTTTATGTTGTTTCACTGTTGGTTTTTGGCTATTGTGGCCTAATATTTGTAATTCATTTGAATTTACTTTTCATTTATGCTGATAAATGTTGCACAGTGAGCGCACTGAGTCATTCAGAAAAGAGTGTTGACACTGGGTCCTTAAGTCAACTGCCAGAGATGCAGACCACAAGCTCCTCTCACAGACCACTATGGGTCTTACCTCTACCAGACCAACAAAGTCTGATTAAAGAATAAAGAACTGCAACTAAGTTATATTAATAATATATTTATTCCTAGTTTGTTCAAAAAAAAATTAAAGCAGGAAGTGTAAAAAACTGCCCCCCCCCCCCTTATCAGTTGAATTTTTCTCCTAATTTCTCCATGAAATTACGTTCTTTATTTAATAGTATTCGATATTTGTGCAGAAGACATTTTGACAGAAATGATTTGCAATATTTAATATCTGTTTTGTGAGTTTTTGAAACAAAAAAACAACAATATATGTGAACACAACCTCAGTAAAGAAAATATAATATAGAAGCGAACCAAGACTTCCCTTATGTTAAGGTGAAGTATCCAGATGAATCCCCGAAGACTTCCTCTTGTCTTCAATAGATATACACAGATAAAATGGGGGACAATCTGCTAAATACAAATAAAATAGAAAAACATAGCGTACAACTGTGTGGAGACTGGTACTGGTGTGCAATCACAATTGGTCACTCACAATTTTGAAGAGTTAACACAGCCTTGAATGATATCTTTATAGAGTTAAAACAGCCTTGAATGGTATTTTCCAGTGTCCAGTGTGTTGTTCCTCCTCACATATTCATCAGTAAATGGGTGTATATGTCTCAAAGAGAAAAATATGTACAAAGATGTAATGCACTTCCAGAATATGATAAAAAGTATTTTAATGACTTACATTTAAGTAAGTAAATGTAAGTACACTTACATTTGATCAAGTAATCACAAGAGTCACAATAAAATGATAGTAACATTATTTGCAATTTAGGGCTATGCACAATAGAAACCAATTAATAAAATAAACAAAGGTAAATTTAGTATCCCTGACCTTATAGTTAGTGTTCAAATACTATAAAGCCCCCTGCCCCCCTACCCCTTGCCCCCTTAAATATAGTAAATTCTTACTTTTATTCCAGTCTGCTGCTGCTGGCTCTGCCCCTGATCTGCCTGCTTGGTTGACATAATTAGAAGTGATGATCTGAGCCAATCACTGTGCTTTCCCATGGGAAAGCATGGTATTGGCTCAGATTGCCAAGGGGGCAGATCAGGTGCAGAGACAGCACAAGCCAAACAGTTCTTATGTACACAAAAAGTATGTCAAAAGTCCCAAAAATCACCAGACCGCATGTAAAATAGACAGTAAAGTCAGGACTAGACACTTTTACACCACTCAAGAACAAAAAAACAACAACTATTTTTGGGAATAGAAACCCACACAATGCATACATTGCCACTCTAGCTTTTAATCTAAGAACCCTCTCAAGTATATAGCAAAATGCACCACAGAACATGATTGAGATAAATTAAATATGCAATGTCCATACCCAAAAAGTGATATGCCTCTAGTATAGTAAAAAAGGATATTTCAGAAGAACTCAACTATCAAGGAAAAATTGCAGATTCTCGCAAAATTGCTGCTGGCCAGGTAAAAGAGAAAGGTAGCTAGATGAAGAAAACACTTGGCTAGTTACCACAAAAACACCATGATCTAACATAGTGCACAAATCAATGCAGCTTTATTAGTATGAACACCCTTGGTGGATGGAGCCAAAATCTAACGCATTTCATACCCAAAAGGTCCTTAATCATAGAAAGGACCCATGCATATGGACCTTTGGTTTTTCTGGGATGCAGTCAGCTTTATTGGGACCTTCAGGGTCTCTGTACTGATCTGTATATTCGGCTGGGAACCAGGCACATTCAGAACTACACTAAGTGTACTTCTGAAAACAACCAGTAGATGGTGGCAACATACCACCATGTACTGTGTTAAATACAGTAAAACACATTGCTAATATCAGAGTTAATATTAGGAGTGGGTTACATTAGGGTTAGGATTCAGGTTGGTGATGGGGTTAGGGTAGGGTTAGGGTTAGATGTAGAGATAAGAATAGGATAGGTTTACTCTTAGTGCTGGGATAGGGTTAGATTTAGCTTTAGAGTTATGATAAGGTAAGGATTAATGCTGGGTATGAGTTAATGCTGGTTTAGGGTTTAAGATAGTGTAGGGTTTATATTAATTTTCAAATTTTCATTGGCACTTCTGATTCTGATCACATGATCAGCCCCAATGCCTACAAGACTCATCATTCTTTGCAGTCTACCCTAGACCAGATCAGCCCTCGGGACCAGACTTACTTTATGTTGCTTACGTAGCCTCTCGAGAGTCTAATCATGAGACAAAATATTATGATCCCCATAACTCCGGGCTCTTATTCAGTCCGATCGCGTGATCGGAAACTACATTCCTCATAATGGACCTGATGACCAAACTGTGCTTTTAACCTACTTTATTTCCAAAGTCCTAATACATACAGACCCTTCAAAGGGCCGATGCAAGACTATTTTGAACCCTAGCAAAGACCAGCTACTTGCACCCCCTTTCCCAAAACAAAAAATGCCAACTTTGTTTGTCTCTTCATTTCATCAGCCTCTTTGTGTTTATCTTTCTCCCCCAACTCCTTTGTGTATGTCTTTTTTCACTTCTTCAGCCCCTCTGGGTGTCTTTTTACCCATAGCACCTTTGTGGGTCTTATTCCCCCCCCAGCCACTTTGTGTGTTTCTTACTCCCCCTCAACTATCCATTTATGGTCTCTTCCCCCAATCTCTTTGTGGTTTCTCCCGACCCCTTGCTAATTCACCTCTTGCCTGTGTAGCGTGGCGAAGGCTCAGTCCATGGTAAAGGAGCTTCTGTATCCTCTACCATGTCTGACAGGATTCAGTTCCACACTCTCTGTGAGAACTTCCTGTCAGACCATGTAGGGGACTCCGAAGCTCCAATACCGTGATCAGCAGCTCTGCCACGTTACATGTTATGACCAATGTTATAAATTGATTTGCATGTCAATGAGTGAGATAGGTATTTGACCCCTTCAACTTAGTACTTATTGGCAAAACCCTTGTTAGCAATCACAGAGGTCAGATGTTTCTTGTAGTTAGCCACCAGGTTTGCACACATCTCAGGAGGGATTTTGTCCCACTCCACTTTGCAGATCCTCTCCAAGTTATTAAGGTTTCGAGGCTGACGTTTGGCAATTCGAACCTTCAGCTCCCTCCACAGCTTTTCTATGGGATTAAGGTCTGGAGACTAGCTAGGCCATTCCAGGACCTTAATTTGTGTCTTCTTGAGCCACTCATTTGTTGCCTTGGCTGTGTATTTTGGGTCATTGTCATACTGGAATACCCATCCACGACCCATTTTCAATGTCCTGGCTGAGAGAAGGAGGTTCTTACTCAATATTTGACGGTACATGGCCCCGTCCATCGTCCCTTTGATGCGGTGCAGTTGTCCTGTCCCCTTAGCAGAAAAACACCTCCAAAGCATGTTTCCACCTCCATGTTTGACGGTGGGGATAGTGTTCTTGGGGTCATAGGCAGCATTCCTCCTCCTCCAAACACAGCGAGTTGAGTTGATGCCAAAGAGCTCGATTTTGGTCTCATCTGACCACAACACTATCACCCAGTTCTCCTCTGAATCATTCAGATGTTCACTGGCAAACTTCAGACTGGCCTGTACATGTGCTTTCTTGAGCAGGGGGACCTTGTGGGTGCTACAGGATTTCAGTCCTTCACAATGTAGTGTGTTACCAATTGTTTTCTTGGTGACTGTGGTCGCAGCTGCCTTGAGATCATTAACAAGATCCTCCCGTGTAGTTCTAGGCTGATTCCTCACCGTTCTCATTATCATCGAAAAACTCCGCGAGGTGAGATCTTGCATGGAGTACCAGACCAAGGGAGACTGACTGAGAGAGAGAGACAGAAAGAGATTCTCTCCCTTTTTCTTTTACATATCTACCTATCTGAAGCGCAACTACCTATCCACTATGGGTGGGTAGTTGTTTGTGACTTTATAACATACCAAGTAAACCATATATATTATGACGGGTTACTGTTCAATATGATTTGTTGAGCCAGACACATCTCCCGCAACTTTCAAAACATTAGGTTTCTATTTTGGACCATGACTCCACTTACTTACTATGTATTTTAGGTTTGATCCAAATTTTGTGCAAAAGTGGTCAATAGGCGTATCCCGAGTAGGTGGCTTTCATATATACTAATCACTATCCGCCTACTTTACAGGCTCCTAGAGTCACTCGTATTTCAAATTATGAATGAGAGCCGATGACTGTACAGGGGGCATATATTTGTGGGCTGGCTGTCGGCGTGTCAATATAGATCACGCACTCATTTTGCTGACAATGTAATATTACCAAACTTATCAATAGATAGTCTTCTGGCACTTAACATTGAGGGGGTGCTCAATGCCCACCATATTGCAAAGTGACAAACCACGGGGTGTTGATATGGGGCGTTGTAGATGCCGACTTCCACCTAACATGCACCTTAATGACAAACTCCGTCCACCACCTACGTGGTGTGAGCGGACTGGTTGACAGTGTACTTACCCTCTTGAAGGTGAGAGTTTTAAATTCCAGCATAGAGGACCTTCTTGCCCTGACAAAGGTGCTGTCTGGAGCACCGAAACCTGTGTTTGTCCATTTGTTTTTGCACTATGGGAAGCACTTTTTTTTTTGTTGTAAATAGTTGTATAGGGCTGCTGTCCTGTAAGCATTGTTTTTTAGCATGCTGAGCTATGCAGAATTTAAGCTAATTTAGCTCTTCTTATTTGGCCTGATTTACTCTTTCCAATATCTTATAAGGGTCCCCTAGACACAGCATTTGTTATTCTATATACATAGTTTAGTCTCTACGCTGCTTCCAATAGGGCCTTGCTGTTTCTCTTAGTGGTATGTAGGTGCACCCATTTTTTTTTTTTTCCAATTTGAAATTTTATTTTCATAAAGACAAGGAAATGGGGTACAGAGAAGAAGGGGAAACTTCAAATGTACATAGTGGGGTCGTACAATTGCTATACATTTTCGACATACAGTTGTAATTAAGGGGGGGAACGAATAGGAGGGAGGGGAGGGGGTAGCTCCCTGACACAATTGACCTTCCTTACTTAGTATTACCCTGATATCGTGGTGTTCCAGTAGGTGATGCTCATGGGGGGGTCTTCTGTCGGATGGGGAGTTTGCTCATTTAGTTACGTGAATTGTCGTTATACTAAGTTTTGCGGATATGGTTTATTTCATTATTGTTCGAGGTCCCCTGTCTCCAGGAGGGGAAGGGTGTCATTGTGGGCAGGGTGCCTGCGGTGTGTTGAGGGTGTAAGGTGAGAGTGGGGGGTCCCCGTGTATTGGGGGCGAGTAACAGGTGGGGGGGAGTAGCAGCGTGGTACCGGTTTGCGGCTGTTGGTGGGTCCTAGGATCGTGACCTCCATGTCACAGGGTGGGTTGGTAAGTGTGTCGGGTGATCGGTGTTGGTTTAAAGGGTGGTGTCGTTTTGGTAGCCAGTGCTGTGGCTCCTTTGCGGGCTCGTTAATGGCTGTGTTGGTGTTGTGTGAGCTGTTGTGTGTAGTTTCGCCATATTGTGGCGGTGTAGGGGCTCAGTTTCCCGATTTTTGCCTGCTTCCACATGATGAGTTCGTACTCCATTGCCAATGTTACTTCTGTTTCAACTTCCCGGATGGAGGGCAAGTCCGCTGTTTTCCACTTCCTGGCTATTAATATGGACACCGTGCCCAGTATGATGTATATCAATTTCTTGATCGGTTTTGGAAAGTCGTCTGGGAGCAATCGGAGTAGGATTGTTTTAGGGTCGAGAGCTAAGTGGAGATTCGTGACACTTCTTACAAGTCGGACTGTAGCTTTCCAAAGATCTTGCACACTATCGCATGTCCACCACATATGCATCATAGTTCCTTTAGTTGCGTGGCAGCGCCAGCATAGGTCTGAAGTGTTGGGAAATATGGTGTGCAGTCGGGTCGGTACCATGTACCATCGGTAAAGGATTTTCCTGGATGCTTCCAGGTGTGCTGTACTTGTTGTGAGCCCTATATGAGATGTGAAAATCTTTTCCCATTCGTTTGGGGGTATTGTGACCTGGAGGTCTGTCTGCCAATCCTGCATAAACTTCCATGTGTCGCTGTTTTTAGGGTTGGCAAGGTGGTCGTAACAGGTGGAAACTGTTTTCCTTGGAGGATCTAGAGAGAGGCATTGTGCTTCAAATTTTGTTATGGACGATCTCAGTGAGTGTTCCATGTCTTTGATTACGTTGTGGGTTATTAGCGCTTTGATTTGTAGATAAGCGAATGTGTAGCTTGGGGGGAGGGCAAATTCTTTCTGTAGGTCTGGGAACGATTTGAGTCCTGCCTTGGTGCACAGTTGGTAGACATGTGTAATTCCTTTTTCTGCCCATTTATGATGTGGAAACAAGCCATTGCATTGGTGCAGGGTCCGAATTGGAGTTGCCAGGGCCCACGGGTGTGCGGAGCACAGTTGGTCCCTGTAGGTGTCCCATATTGTGAGAAGGTGTTTGGTGGTGGGTGCACCCATTTTTTAAGGTGCACTGAGGAAGCCATGGGGCGTTGTATCCTCGGTTGAATTTCTAGGTTATTCCTCTCTTCTTTTCCCACTAGGCCGTTTTATTTGATTTTCTTAATTTGCATTAATATCACTTACCGCCTACCTTTTGCCCATTACCTTATATTATTGTGGTCATGGTGGGTAATTGTTAGACTTGGAGTAGGTTCCATCCTGTCTCATATATTAAACCTGTCTTTATATTAATAGGCCAGTTTTATCCCACTATACTCTTCATTCTGTAGTTGCTATCGAAAACCACTAATGTTTTGATTTCATAGCGGCACTTCACATTTTCTGTTCATGCAGTTTAGAAAGACGGTCCTCTCTCTAGTAATTATTTTTCTAATAAAGTTATTTCTACTTATTATGTATCCACCTCCCATAATTCTATTATGTCCATTTTTTTTATGTACCATTGAGCATCAACCTCTGTGGACATTGCAGTGGCGTAGCGTGGGTTGTCAGCACCCGGGGCAAGGCAAGTAATTTGCGCCCCCTAACCCGTGGATTTTAGCACTCGAGTCTCTTCCACTAGATTAGTTAAAGAAACCCTTACCCCCCAAGCACATGTATTGTTTGTTATGAAAATACTTATGTAATTAAAGTAAAATGCATCTAAATACAAGTTTATTTTCCAACACTTTATTGAGTGCGAACATGCATTACACACATTCTCCACATTTTCAGCAGGTCTATGAATACAAATATACAAATGTAGTAACCTAGCATGGGCCATGCTATTATATGTCGTCTCACAACCATCGTAAACGACAAAAAATATCAAGAACAAAAACTAAACATCAAAATGGAACCATACCCTGGAGATGATCCAAAACTGGGCTAGATGGAGCCAACTTCCTCAATCCTGTACCTCTAATTGTAATTCTTTAATAGAAGTGCAAGATATCAATCTGTATATAATATACAGATTAATTTAAATTCGCCTGCTTTTAATTAGCGCAAATTTTTCAACAACGGAATTGAAATCTACATTAAAGTCTCTCTCAATGGACAGTATTGCTAGATTACTCAGTCTTTCTTGGCTCATTGTAGATCTCTGATATGTTTTAATTAGTTTAAGTTTTGAGAAACTTCTTTCACAACTCGCTGTAGAAACAGTGATAGTAAGAAAGATTCTTAATGTGACAACAAAGTTAGTTAAACTTTCTTGCAGCTTCCACTTATACACCCAGCGAAGCAAATCTAAAGCTGACCAGTTTTCAACCTGCTCATCAGGATGGACCTCCTTATACAAGATAATGTGGTGCCGAAATCGAGTTATTTCGGTGAGCATAGATGCAGCATTCAATTCCATGTGCTGAATTTGTTTCTTAATAAAATCATCTTTTTTAGTATCCAACAATGTTTGAATTTGCAAAAAAGCAAATCGCTGGTGCAGCGTATTCATCTGCGTAGTAAGTTTTTTAATTTCTGCCTGAAGCTGATCAATTGCTTCCAGTTGTTCTCTGCTTGTTTCCTGTATTAAGGTCAAGCCAGCATCGCAACTGTTCTCACCATCCATCTTCTTGCGTCTTCCAACTCTTCTCTCTGTAGGTATGCAATAGGTTTTGCATACCTGCAAAGCTTTCTCAGTTGCCTTTGACACTAGACTATCACGTTTTTCATGACAAAATAAAGTCAATGCTTTTAACTTTTGCACGCATTGATCAAGCGCAAGTCCTTCTTGCTGCAGGTAGATCTGAGTATCATTTACTTCGGTTAGTACTGGGTTACAAAAATGCAAGAAAGAGAAAAAAACATATGTCATTATGCAAACTAAAAGACTTCCTGCATCACCCCTGGTTTCAGAGGTTTCTTCCGGCCCATCTCTCAACGCTTCCAAAGCGTCTATTATTTTCTCAGTGTGTTCAGCAAGTACGCATACAGCTTCATGCGTTGAACTCCATCTTGTGTTACACGATCGCTTTACACGAATTGGTACATGTTTCTTAAGGATATCCCACCTGTGGGTGGAGCTTGAGAAAAATGAATACACCTTTTCCACAGTGCCAAAGAAAGTAACAGACTTTGTCCCAACACCAACTGCATGCATCCCAGCAAGATTGAGCGAGTGATTGTTACATGGCACAAACATTGCTTTGGGATTCATATCCAAAATATGTTTTTGTACACCACTAATGTGTCCAGCCATAGTCACAGCATTGTCGTATCCCTGGCTGTAGCAATGCTCTAGTTTAAGGCCATCAGCTTGCAACTTGTCACAAATTTGTTTTGTAGTGACATCAGCCGATTTCCCATATAATTGAATAAAGTCAATGAAAGACTCTGTCACATGGACTCCTGAATCTTCAATATGCACATATCGAATCACTTGGGACATTTGGTCAGTGTGTGAAATATCAGGAGTGCTATCAAACATTATAGCAAAATACTTGGCCTTTATGATATTTTGAAAGATGACTGTTCGAATGTGATCGCCGAGCAGGCTAATAAACTCATTCTGGCTCTGTGGAGAGAGATTGGACACAATGTAACCATCTGTGCGTTGTACTCTGTGAAGATGTTGTTTGGCAACTGGGTCATATTTGGCGAGTAACTTGAAAGTTTCTAAGAAATTTCCACAGTTACCATCTGTATTTAAATCTTCAGAGTGACCACATAAGGGTAAGGTTTGCCTTGCTAGATACAGAATACAATCAAGTATTTCGACTAAGATTGCCTTCCATTTTTCAAATGAACTCTGTTGTGCAAACTGGGCAGCAGCATCAATAGTCTCCTGTTTATGCAGCCGCATTTCTAATTCTTTCCATATTGTAAATGCACTCAAGTGATATGAACTGCGCTCATGTTCTAGTAATCTAGGGCTTAACTTTCTCCATGCATTAAATCCACTTGACTTTCTAAATGAACTTTTCCCTTTAGCCTTCTGAAAAAGCATGCAAGGAAAGCAATATGCAGCATTGTTTACAGGAGAAAACACCAACCATGTCCTTAACATAGTCTCACCATTGTCCAAATGTATGTAGAACCAATCCTTGGAAAATGACCTGCCATTACTGTCTCTTGGAAACCATGCATCCTTATTCTGCAGTTCCTCTGTCCCTCGCCTGACAAGTTCAGTTTTCAAGGTTTCATCCATGGTTTCAGGCCAATAGCCAATATCAGTATAAACTTTTTGGTCAATATTTTCTGGCAGATTTGGCTGAGTATAAACATCCTTAGATGAAACTGTCTCTGCTTCTAATGCAGGAACAGGAATGTCTACCGACACAGGATCAGGATTACGAGTCTCCTGTGGTGCTGCTGCTGATGGTCCTGCTGTAATTTCAGCAGTACTCACCAAAAACCGGTGAGGGCTTCCAGCTAACTTAGCTTGTTGCTCTGTCTCTATCTTTCTCCTTTTCCTGCCATGTGCACCAGATTCTTTTTTGTATGGCATGACATAGTAGTATTCTGCTAAAATTCTAAAAAAAGAAAATCACTTTCTTGCCTTGCTGCACTTTTAGCACCCCTTCATTGTATAACCATTTCTTTACTCTTAACATAATGTTTATTCACCTTCATGCCTATTGCCTTACTCTTTCAGCCAAAAAAATAAAATAAATTAAAGGTTGCGCCTAGACCCACTGGCTTACATCAACTTATGTTGAGCTGGAGCAGCTACATATGGATCGAAATCTGTCTCGTCACTGTTGAACCAACCAAACTTCAATCCATCTGGTCAGCTCAACATGCCAGTCTTGACCTGCAGACCGGGAACATCCCAAAGAAACTTCAGTTTGGGAGATGCTCTGCTTCTGCTAGCACTACACAGCCAGCCCACTGAGCCCAGTACTACTCCAGTCAGTCCTGACTCCTACCTTTTTTTTCACTGGCTGTCCCGGACCCGATCACAGCAGTCAGCAGGCTAGGTTTTCTCCTCCAGGTCCTCCTAGGTTTTCCTCCTGCAGCGTCTGTCACCACTGGCTCCCTCTCTCCTCTCTGGCCTGGCTGTGTCACCTGCCGCCGCTGCCAGCTTCTTCTTGCTGCTGCCTGGGCTGGTCTGGTGTGGTTCTCTCCCGCGCTCAGCGCTGCGCTGGGCGGCCGCTGCACTGTCCCTCCCCCAGATAGTCCCTCACTCTCTCTTCGCACCCACCGCACCGCACGCCTGGCACCCCCCCTCCACAGTGGGCGGCGACCCGGCGGCTCGGATCGGATTCGCACAGCCAGCACTGCAGAGAGAGTGAGTGAGCCAGGCAGGGGCAGAGAGCTGCGAGTGCGAGCGCGCCCCCCCAGATGTTGCGCCCGGTGCAGCCGGCCCCCCCTGCACCCCCCACGCTACGCCTCTGGGACATTGTTATCTAACCTATTTCACTAAAAAACAAACCCAAAAAAAAAAGTTTGGTGAAAGCTGTTAGTGAAGTTATTTTCTAATATATACGTGATGACATTCCCCTCATTAACATCACCATGTTTACAAGCTTCTAAATGTTAGTTCAGTCTTATAATAGAATACTCACCAACTGACTAACCTAGGAAGTGATTTGACATCAGTTACAGGAAAAATGTGTCTGTTATTCAGCAAGATGATGTCATGTGTATAGATCACAGACTAATATCTCATGTATTTTACCTTGTCAACAACAGAGACTAATATCATGGAAAGGAGAATTTGACTAAGATGTTTTTGAACGTTTTAAACTTTTTTTTAAGATTTTCCGAAATACATAGAAAGCAACATTCTTAAACAGGGGAAAAGGCAAGTATTAACACAGACAATTAAACCAAGTAACGGAAATAATCAGAGTTACACAGGTATTTGAGTATTTTTAAATAGCAATAATTCTGCTAATAATTCTGCAACCAAAGTATTTTAACCCCTTAAGGACCAAACTTCTGGAATAAAAGGGAATCATGACATGTCACACATGTCATGTGTCCTTAAGAGGTTAAAAAAAAATCATAAAATCTAAGAACACATACTAGCACTTTATTACTATTTATAGTTTGGAGCTGTATGTTCTAGTTCGCAAGCAATACCAAGATCACTTCTTTGTATAAAGAGACATATTCACCATAAACTTAGCTTGGAATCAACAGATTGCATCTCAGACAACAGTAAGCCATAGATCAAATAAGCAATCACGCAGGATAATTGAGAAGAACCCTCATGCACAGGCAGGTAACACTTCCACTACCAAACACTTTTTGATTGAAAACATTTTAGCAAAACATATATAATATATAACGGATGCCTCGCTAGCATGTAAACATATTATAGCACAGAAAATCTGTGTATATTGTGTTTTGCAGACAAATATAACAGTGAAAATAATGTAAATTTAAATGTTTTTTATTTGTCACTTATTTGTACAAGCTTTATGAAAAATATTTGATAAATTAAAAGGGTTAGATAGTATGCAGTGTCCTTCATCTTCCAATATTTCACACAGGGTCTAATTTGTTGGTATAAAAACTAAAATGCGATTTCTCACATGTAGTAGATATGACAAAAATAAATACAATTGGGGGGCGAGGCTTGGATCTAACTGAGAGCAGTCGCATGCCTGAGAAATACCGTTGATAAATGCAGATTAATAGATCCACACGATGACAATCTGACTACTTTCTGGCCCCTTCACTTGGTGACAACATGGGGAAAAGAATTAAAAAGTTAAAAACTCACATAGAGGACAGATCTCGGAAAATCAGCGATCTTTTCCTGTCGCTACCTAAACCTAAAATGGCGGTGACCCTGGATCCTCAAAGCTCATCCTCGGAGGAGGAAGCACTGGATGCTCCGGACCCCATACCAGAAGTTGCAGACCCCATCTCGAGCCTACCACTTGGCGATCTGAGAGCTCCGACTACCAAAGGAGACATCCTGAACATACTGCAGAACCTGCGCACCCTGTTCCACTCAGACATAACGATTCTGCAGGAAGAATTGACCGGCGTCACAGGCAGGGTGAGGGTTGCCGAAGAGAACATCGCTGCCATGGCACAGTGACATCAACAAACTGCGACTGAATACAGCATACTCCACCAACCCTACTCCTAACTACTCCTGGGATGTCCCAAACATAGTCCCATTTGTGCCTTGTTCTGCTGCTGACACAGGCTGAAGCAACAGGGACATTCCCAGACAGGATCAAGCCATCTGGATGTAGGGTCACCAGACTCTAAAATACCAACTGACACTTGTTTTTTTAGTTCTTTTATTCTTGTTCTTCCCTTTTTTGTTTACTTTGCATCTCGAGTTATTGTTATGCGTAACTCCCAATAGTTATATTGTCTTAAAAGTAAAACAGCTTTCTATTCCCCATTACCGCAGCAGAGGGTATTCCCCGTCCTCCTCTCTTGGAGCTCAGGAGATAATGAGCCCTAAAGAGTAACTAATCAGCAGGGGACAGCACGACAGCATGCCACCCTCCCTTAGCAACCTTGAGGGCTTGACAGTACACCCCGTATACACCACAGATTAATGCCCCAGCGGCAGCCCAGGCTCCTCCGTTCACCCTTGGGAGCCAACCCACTCCTACACAGGTGGTGAGCAGCTACTTAACCCGGTCTAAGACCATGCACAGCTCCCACACCCCTCTCCCCCCACCCCCACACTAGTTTACAAGCATATCCTCAGTCACACGCAGAAAAACCCTTGTCCCAATCGCCTACTGTTGACAGGCCACTAAATAGCACAATGCCTCTATCCCTGCTTTTCTCTTCTGATGTCCCTTTAACCATAGTACATCTGGGCGCCTGGAATGAATAAAGTAACCTGTCACTTCAGCCTACATGCTATGACCACTTAAATACACAGACGTGCCTATCACGCGTGTACTCACCGACAAATCTATCCTTAGCACCAACAACACAAAAGACGAAAAGAGGTTGGAATGCCATTTCCATTTCATTTGGAATGCTATTACCATTTCACTACAGCATGAAGACGTAACTCTTAATTTGACTAACTTGGCTATGGCTTCCTAGTTCCACGTAGGCTGATAGCAGCCCACCACTTTCCCTTTCTAGGCAATATATATTGACGCTAAGCCTGTACGTGTCCCACTCCTCTGTTACGTTTTGTTTACTGTATTAATTTATATGTGCCTAGCAAGAGATATCCCTCCCCACCCCCTTATTTTTTTTAGATCAAGGACATTAGTCTAATCTGGCTTACTCCTTGTTTACCAAATGCACAAATAAAATAAAAATAATAATAATAATCAAATCCGAACCCGAGTAATGCACCGGGAGCACTTATAGATGTGTACAACCGTCTATAAATTATGCCAGTGTCACATCAATATGATATTGTATTAGACCCACGAATTAGAATTTAGAAGAAAGTACTGGAGACCGTATCTCCAGAAGGATATTGATACTTTAGAGAGAGTTCAGAGAAGGGCTACTACACTAGTTCATGGATTGCAGGATAAAACTTACCAGGAAAGGTTAAAGGATCTTAACATGTATAGCTTGGAGGAAAGACGAGACAGGGGGGATATGATAGAAACATTTAAATATATAAAGGAATCAACACAGTAAAGGAGGAGACTATATTTAAAAGAAGAAAAACTACCACAACAAGAGGACAGTCTTAAATTAGAGGGGCAAAGGTTTAAAAATAATACCAAGAAGTATTACTTTACTGAGAGGGTAGTGGATGCATTGAATAGCCTTCCAGCTGAAGTGGTAGAGGTTAACACTGTGAGGGAGTTTAAGCATGTGTGGGATAGGCATAAGGCTATGCCTAGCTATAAGATTAGGCCAGGGCCTAATGAAAGTATTTAGAAAATTGGGCAGACTAGATGGGCCGAATGGTTCTTATCTGCCGTCACATTCTATGTTTCTATGTAGAGTGTCTGTGTGTGTGTAGTAAATACAGTCTGTCTGTGTAGTGGATGCAGTGTGTTAGTGTAGTGGATGCAGTGTGTATAGCAGATGCAGAGTGTGTGTGTGTACTGGATGCAGAGTGTGTGAGTATAAATGTGGGGTAGGATAGCAGATGCACTCTGTGGGAAAAGGTTTTGTTTTTTTAATGTAAAAAAATGTCATAATTCATTTACTAATTTTATTCCCCCCTCCATACCTCTTACCTGTGGCTAGGGAGGGAGGACATTCTCCCTGGTAGTCCGGTGGCATTGTGCAGACTGTCAGATGCTGTGTATTAATGAGGGGGCCCAGCTAACATGTGCATACACACAGCTTGACACACAGATGCACACACTGACACACACATATATGTCATAATTTTTTATATTTTGAATCACCCTCCTGTTAGCATACCTTTTGTGGCTTGTTTGAGGTGCTGCGCGCTGAGGCTGATATGGGTAGGGTCTGCAGCAGCTCATGCCTTCTTGCTGCCTGTGCCCCACCACTTGCCCTTCCTCCCCTCCCCTCCCCTCCACCAGGGAATTAATTATTTTAAAATTAAAGGTATTGCAATGTAGGAGGATTGTCACTAAACAGCCTCTCCAATTGTCACCCTCCCACACACACACACACTGTCACCCTCCCACACACACACACACTGTCACCCTCCCACATACACACACTGTCACCCTCCCACACACACATACTGTCACCCTCCCACACACACACACTGTCACCCTCCCACACACACACACACACACTGTCACCCTCCCACACTGTCACCCTCTCACACACACATACTGTCACCCTCCCACACACACACACACACTGTCACCCTCTCACACACCTATACTGTCACCCTCCCACACACACACACTGTCACCCTCTCACACAAACCCTGTCAAACAATGTAACCTCTGCACACTGCATCTCCCACAGTGTCACCCCTAAACAAGCTATCACTCTTTCTTCAACCATGAACACCCCTCCTAATTCTGTCGCTCACACCCCCTCCAACTATACCACACTTACCTCCCCTCACCCTTACACTCACCCTATCACATTAACACCCAATTCTGTGACAGTCATCTTCTCTCGCACTGTCACTCAAGCTCATCCCTCTCACACTCACCCTCTATCACTATGTCACTCTCATCCCTCTTTATCCTGCCACACTCACTATATCACATTAACCACTCAAATCCTGTCATTAATCCACTATAACCATGCCACACTCACATAAACCCCCTGAATCATGTTGTGCTCACCCTGTCACACTCAGGCCATGAAATGTGCCAAACTAACCCCCAACCCAGGCCCTGGGGTGATAGCGCAGCTAAGCGGACAAGGGCACATGTATGAGTGTGGGGATAGATGCGTGTGATTGGTTGTATATGTGAATGAATGTGTGGGTGGGATTATGTGGTGTGTGAGTTATCCCCAGTGCCACTTGGGATTCGGGCCAGCAAACAGCTTCCCTCCTGCCTGCCCCATGGGTTTGTTTCGTCGCAGCTAGCCGGGGGTATGTCCTTGCCAATTAAGTTTGAGGTGGTTACGTTAAATATGTGGAATGAAGTGAGCAGGTTTTCAGGTCTCAACCTCCCCTGCTCCACCTGTTATGTCGTGCCCACCGAGCGAGGAAAAGGTCGGCTGGTGGTAAGCATTGGAAGGAAAAGGAGTTTATGCCGAGGGGGGAGGTGAGAGGACGTGGTACATAGGCGCATGGTCAGTTTATTGGCAAGGACGGTTGGGTTCACTGTATGACACTATGTGTTAAGTTATATGTTAAGTTATGCTTATTTATGTTTAACGTTTTTGGTTATATCAAAGAAAAGAGAATATTAAAATAAATTATGGATGTGTTGTACAGTAATTATCATATGTTATAATAAATGCTGTGGCCTGTTTAATCCATACTACGTTGTCTGTCATTATTTGGGGGGTGAATTGGGTTAGTTTATGTATTATGCTGCATCGCGATTCCCCACTACGTACATACATGTCACCCCTCCCAACCTAACACTGCAACACTCACCATGTCACATTGATGCCTCTAATAATCCTTCTCTTGAATTCACTTGAGGAGTGGAGTTTCTCTGGACGGGTGGAATTTAAATCGTTCTTTTACTGTGTGCTTTTTCATTTTTCTGCATTGAAACTGCAGCCTGGAAATATGCAATATTCTTGAGGTTCTAGTGTGAAATCAATGAATTAATCACAGCTGAGAACTGAGATCTGTAGCTCACCAACTCTACTTACTTTTAGGTAAACATAACTTCAGAGACGGAAAGTGCAGTTATGTGAGCCAAAGTGAATATTGAATTCTGGGTAAATCTAGAAACTTCCATTTCAGTTGTTTTCAGAAAATACTTTTTAAATTATTAGCTATTTTGCTATTCTACGTTTACAACAAAATGAATCAAACCGGAACCATTTCGAAATGCATCTCATGATGATTGAACGTATTCTCAAAAAGAGCCACTAAGTGGAACTGTTGTACAAGAATGAGAAAATAGCTTTCTATTAATATTTCATAATGTCAAAATTATTAAAATACTTTAGCTAATGGAGGATTTCCTCTTTTCAGAACTAAGCTTGCAACAACCCACAATAAAGACTCAAAAAAAGAAAAATGAAGCAAAGTTAAAGTGACACTCCACTGCCCATATATAAAAGAAAAATGTAATTCACCATTTAGCTAATATATCAAAATGAAAGATGCGTGCATTTAATTATGTTTTTTATCATTTCGGGGTATATCTCTGTAACCTCCTTCTTTGGCCTCACCCAATGGCAGGGGCGGATCCAGAGCCTGATCTCGGGAGGGGCACTTGTAGATTATTTAAAGAAATAATCCATGCACAATAACCACTACAGCTCTGTGTAGTGGTTATGGTGCCAAGAGTGCCGTGACCCCCTCCCAGAGTAAGCAGTCAAACCATTTAAGAACAGTTTGACAACTTACCTGAGGTCTGCTGGGATATGGGGCTCTAGTAGGGCATAGGAGCATGGTGTGTGTGAGTGGTGCAATGTGTAAGGGGTCAGTGTGTGTGAAAGGTTCCATGTGTGTGGGGGGGTGTGTGTAGTGTGTGAATGTGTAGGGTGTGTGGGGCAATGTGTGTATGGGGGGGGCAG